AAATAAATACCGGCTACATTCCTACCACGTTTGTACGATACACTCAGCACAGGGAGATACAAATGAAGCAGGAGTTAATTAACTGAATACGAGAAGCTGCTTGATAAGAGTGGATACCAAGGAGATTACACAGGCACTAGCTTGTTTGGAGTTAACCATTCAAATGTTTGGTGTTGTACAGTTTATTTATGAACTCCAATTTAGAGAGGTTATGAGAACAGATTGACATTTCGAAGGTACGTTGCGCAGTTAACGAATCTTGTTGAATTTACCGTTTATCCTTGTGTATCTTATTGTCACTCTGTATAATTCCATGATTACCGGAGTTTTTAATAATTACGAAGCAACAGGTATTTGCGCAATGTGAATTAGGCAGATTATCTTGAAAAACATTGCTGCCGTATTTCTGATATAGTTTTTTGGAAATTTCTCAGTTTTTAATAACAATTAATTTCTTTTACTATTTTTTCTGTACTCCTATAACAGCGCCAGACAACATCTCCAGAGGAATGACGCCAATTTTGAATCACTCTGTACAGCAGTTCTAATTTTCAGATTTGACTTATTTGACAATTTTTTTAATGGCAATCATAATTTTTTATGAATCTTAAAGACAATGTTAATTTTCTTGATCCCCTGGGGGAAAGTACAGAACTTAGCTACTCTTTTCAATTGCAAAAGAATCACTCTTACCAATTGCAATGACAATTTACCTTTCCGCCCATTATTCAATTAAATTTTCTTCATCCCGTGTAGAAAGTTATCACTTTCGCCACGCAAGCTGACAGTTTGACAGTTTGTCACTGTCAGCTAGCTACTTTGACAAAATTTTTAAAGCCGTTTTTTTCCAAACCTTATATTTTTTCCTGCTAGTTTCCACTGAGGATCAAGAAAAACAGTAGACGGTACGGGAGACGAAAGTCGAAGGCCTGCCACTGCGCCCGAGACAAAGCCGAGGTCATCAACTTCAACATGTACCGTAATAAACTAATTTCACATGCGTTCTATACCAATAACAAGTTTCCATTTATTATCGTTTAAAAGTAATTTAAGAAACATCAGTTAATTTAAAAAACAAATAAATTTATTTAATTCAGCTGCTTCGTCAATAAATGCGGAAAACATAGGCATTAACTTTGACAATATGCTAAACGGAACTGAATCTCGTTTTAATAATGTTTCATTACTTACGTGGAAATTTGCCTACACTCGTATTTGTTCTTGCAACACCTCAATGATTTTCGGATTGGTCTTAAAATAGTTGCTTTTCAAGTACCTACTCCCATAAGAAATACTCCATAGATGTGAAATCCGGAAATCTTGGGGGCCATTCAACGGGTCGTTTTCTACTAATCCATCTGCTTAGGAATAGATCATACAGGTACTCACAAGCACACCTTGCATATGAGAAGGTCGTGTTGAAACCAGACGTTTGTACTCGGTACTTATCGAGGAAAGAGAGTAGCCAAAATGGGAAACTATCCAGGGTGAGTTTTTTAAAGTGTTACAAGGCCATTTCTCAGAAACAGATTCAATATGTTTATAAACATTTTGGAAAGTAATAGATATGTAGGGGGGCATGTTTTAGCATATTTTTTATTCTTCTACTCAAGCGCCCTCTCTTGAAATTTTAAATGGAATGATATATTTTTTATTCTGAAATTTAATTCTACATGAAAAACTACGTATATGTACACATTTTTGCATACTTTACTCATCTGGTAACATAATTATCGATAATTTAAGTTTTATTGAATTTCAATACAATTAAACATGTTTAGGTCAGTGGCTTTTCAAATTGTCAAAAATTTCAAAATTATTTAAAAAATAGAGTAGTGAAGTGTTTGGAAGTTGAAGGCAGGCATTTTGAACATCTCCTGAAACATATTTGATTACTATCAGTCGGGTCATAATTTAATAATTTTTTTTTATTTATGTTGCACGTTCTAATTCTGGAACTAAGTGATTAAATCACATAAAAATTTCTACACATACATAGTTTCTTACAATGATTTAAATTTCACAATCAAAAATTTATCATTCCATTAAAAATTGTAATGTTGCCTTTACCTCTCTCAGCGCTTGAGTAGACTAATAAAACATATGCTAAAATACGTCCCCCTACCTATTTCTTATTTTCCCAAAATTGTATAAATATGTTTGAAACCGTGTCTGCGATATAGCCTTGTAACACTTTAAAAGACTCACCCTGTATATTCCTGCAAGAACAAACAGCCTGCTCCATTGAGGTTACCTTGGAAGAAAATCGGCTCTATACTCGATCACCGGCTTGGGTGATGTAACTTTTTTTCACCTGGCATCAAAACTGGCCCATCAAGAAACAAAATTCTCAAAATGTCTTAACGAATTTATTTCTTACTTAATCACAACTCGATATCTACATTCGTAAAATATATTTATATTCTGTATTTCAAATTGAGATACAGCTCAGCCTCATTTAACTCGAGTTCCAAAAAAAGACCAAACGACCCACTCATTCGATTCGATTTGTGCTAGTTTTTTTTTCACCGAAATTGGTAAGTACTGGAAACTTTAGTTGTAACCCTTGTGCAGTATTTGTTCATAAAATGTATTTCAAATTTTCTATGGCAACAAAAACATTCTTTGATTTGATTGCAGAGTGTTCAGAACTGAAGCAATATGATACACTATTGAAAACCTTCATTTTTATTTTCAAAAGAGAAAACACCTTTTGTTGGAGAACGTGGATGGCAAATAATTCGCATCAACAGAAAAAAATATGTATTTTTCGACTCAACTCTTCGGTTGTTGGCACACGATTAACCACAGGCAATTTTAGAAATTTGATTATTAACCATGGGGTGTTTTAAATAGCTGCACCAAAGGGACACGTGGCCTGTCCATATCAGTAGCCACAGTGGCGGTGACACGCGTCCCTTATCGCATCTAGATCTGGTCTTTCTGGATTGAAAATACACCCATATTCCACGCCATCGTGAGCATCCACCCTATTCAAGGGGTTTTGGGCGAGAGCTGTTTGCTCCAACGGCCAAAAGGTTATCTTGAAATTTATTTACTTCAGCATTTTTTGAATTAATAAAGCTTCTCACTAAAAGAATCTATTGCTTTAAGGGAAGCAAAAGTATTCCACTTCAGCTTGCTTTAACCGCGAATAACAAACCCTAGAGAAAGTGAGTGGTAGCCGGAATCGTTTAATGTTTCCTACAGGTAAAAGCAAAAAATTGGAAACATCATTGTTCATTGAATTTGATCCTGTGTCTACACATTGTACTTACGACAACTATTCAGGAATATGGTTAATTGAACACGTCAACTTCTGAGTGAATTTTCAGGTGTTGGCGCAATGGTGCGCAAATGGCTTGGTGCGCCAACCCAACGCACTGGCGCAGTAACTCAGTTTTGTTGCTCGGAAAATGTTGATAATCTTTTGTTTTTGTTGCTTTTTTATTTATTTTAATAGCCATTGATTAAGAACATTTTGAGTTTCTTCAAAATTTCAGAATTTTCCAGTTTTAGTTTTGGTTACTCTTTCTTCTAAACGCCGCTCAATTTTCTAAAGTTTCACTTCAAAATACTGACAATCTTAAGGTATTTTTAACAAAAAAATTATGAAATAAATTTGGCTAGAAGCCTCGCATCCTTCGTCGCTTTATAAAAAGTTTTAAAATCCTTTGCCAGCTTCGAACTTGGAACAAAAATCAAATAATTTTCTTTCAATAAACGAATAGAGTAGGCTAAATTTTATAATAAATTATTTGTAAAATCGTCACCTCCATTTCTCTGAAGACTGTAGAGTTTGTAAAAAAATGTGGTTTTTTAGTTTTGACTGATTTTTTTTGTTTCAAAAACAATCTATTTTGTAGTTTCCCTGAAAAATACTAAGGATCTGGAGGTATTTTACGCGAAAAATTACAAGATAAATTTATAGCTTTGTGAATTGGAAGTGCATTTTACAAAAACTTTTCAGCGTCGAATTCGGGACAAAAACAAAAATACATTTCTCCCGGTTTTTCCCGAAAGTAATTAGGGTTTTCTCAAAAACCAATGACAAAACTAAAAGTTTTCAATCAAAAGTGCAAAAAAACATTATTTTCTGATGCTTTTCTTCCTTCCTGACAAGCATGGGGTCGATTCAGCTAAAAATGACAAAATTAATTTTGTTAGAAAATTCTCCTCATTTATCGCATAATTTTATTCAGTTTTTTTACCGACAGTAATTAAGATTATCTTGAAAAAACGACCAGAGCAAAAGTTTGAAAAAAATTATTTGGAAACTTCGCCGCCCTGAGCGCTCTAAAGATTGTTAAAGTTGCTTTAAAATTTCAGGTTATTCCAGTTTTAGTAAATATTTCATTAAGCAAGTATTTCTATGCAAAAAACGCATTATTTTTAATTTTATTTAAAAATTATATGGTATTTTCTGTGAAAAATTATAAGATACATTTTATTGGAACACCTCCTAAACCGCGTTACAAAAATTGTTACAAAAAAATCCTTTTGCAGCTTCGAATTTTGGACAAAGTCCTAATAATTTTTTTCTGGGTTTTTTTCCAAAATTATTTCCCCGTACAGAACGAGAAAGTCTATAATCATTTAATTGGAAAACCCTTGGAAACTGGGGTTTCTTCACTTTTAGGTCAATATTTCTAAACAAAATTATCTCTAAACAGAAAAACCGCGCTTTTTTACCAACGTTTTACTGTAAAATAATGGCAAAAACTGAGTCTCTTATGCAAAAAAATTAATAGATCGATTTAACAAGAAATCTCATCAACGTTCTTTGAACTAAGTTCTGTTGCTGAGAAAATGTAGATGTTTTTTTATATAGTTGTTTGAATAAAGTAGTAAAATGTTACTCATAAAAAATGTTGATGACCTTTTCTTTAGATGTTAAAATTCCGGTTTGTGGTCTCGTAAAGCTTTAATCCGCTTTAATAAATGACTTATAACTCGAATGAGTTATCGATGACTTATAACTCGTTAACTCAGAGAGCGGCAACAACTCAATAGCGCAACTCAACACAGTGTTACCCAGACCTAGTTACAACTGCTCTTTAATGTAAACGTAAGAATCAGTGCCCAAAACACACAAACAAATCTGGCCAATTAGTTCACAAAATAATTTTTTCGCTGGCACTTTTGCTGTAAGAACCGATTAAAAATGCATTTAATAGTGCTTCACAGGGTATACGGAAAACAAAAAATTGACAATGAATATTTATGAATTATTATAATTATCAAAACACCTTATCTCATTGCAAGGTTTAAACTGTGTACATTTTTATATGATGAACTCAAAAATCGTAAATCCTAATGCAAATTTACCTAAAAAGCATCCTTTATCAAAATATAAATATCCCTCCGGTGTGCGTTTCGTCTTAATTATCAGGTGCATTTTCAGTGTAGCATTTAGGTGACCACAGCAAATGCAGCGCATAATTTAGAAAGTTTTGAAACAAAATGAATTGGAAAAGTTGCCCAGTTTTAATTGCACTAATTATTTATTATTGCTTCTGGAATAATGCTGGCGCCAAACTAGTTGAAATCGTAACTTCAGGCTGTACCTATAAAGAGAAGCTTTTCTAATTCTGGCAGGTTGCTTTGAGATCAATTTACTTTAGAAAACAATTACATTTTCATTTAAACAGAGGTGGCGATTTACGAAAAAAATAGCTGGTGGATTTCTAGAATATGGTCGTTGCACATTTTCTTATTTGGTAAAATTGATAAATAACGAACAAATAGGGGTAGGTAGTACACATTTTTTCCTTATTCTGCTTAGCCATAACGAATTTATCAGCAATCAAAGTTTAAACGCACAAAAACAAAAAAAAAACATATTTTCAGTAGAATAATGTTAAGAAAAAAAAGGAAGAGCTCGATATCAGATATAGGAAAATGGGCTGGCTACTGGGTAGGCACTCTAGACTACCAACCTACAACAAAGTACTTCTGTATAAACAAATCCTCAAACCAGTGTGGACTTACGGCTTACAGCTCTGGGGTTGTGCTAGCAAGAGTAACATCCTAATTATCCAGAGATTCCAGAATAAAGTACTGAGAAACATCCTTAATGCGCCTTGGTACATCAGGAATAGTGACATTCATCGAGACCTTCAGATGGATACTGTTGCCCAGACTATCACGAGATTTGCAAGGAGTCACGAACGGCTTCATCAACACGTGAATGTCGAGGCGATTCAGCTCTTCGACAATACCAACCTGACAAGAAGACTCAAGAGGGTAAAGCCTTTTGAGCTATGGGAGTGACTATGTCAGTGCAGAAGCAGAACTTTGTGCGGTTTTCTGCTACACGGTAATTAGTGTAGCTATGTCACTAGACCACCAGACTCTAAGGTACACTAGTGAGTAGGACCTTAGTTTGAAATTGTATCCATAGTTAAGTTAGGTTAGAACTGAATTACTCATTGATCAGATCGTAATGATAGTAAATGTCCTACGGGGAGTTTAATAAATAATAATAAAAAAAAGTAGAATAATGATATTAATAAATAAACCATAAAAGTCCACGAGTTCGGTAAAGTATTCAACCCCATCCAAATAGCCCAGAGGGTCTAATGAGCAACACGGGGTCTCTCGTATTAGTCTTCGCCGATTGATGACTCCTTAGGGAACAAACTTTGGAAAATTGTAAATCTTAACTTTACTGCTTAATCGGTGATTGGCAAACTGATGTTGTCCCATAGGATTGATTAGCTTGAAACCGTATGGTTGATGCAATTAGGGTAAACTGCCAAAGTAGCACTTAGATACCCATTATTCAAATATTAACTGTAGGTTCCCATCTATGTAAATAAGGGTAAAATAAAACCTCAATTTAAGCCTACTGTAAATTAATATATTTTTTAAGTGAGTATAAATAATAAGCGTAGTAAATAATTATCTATATATGTAGTAAAATTACACAGGATATAAAGTTATTGCCACTCCCTGGTGATAGATTCATATTCAAAATCTTCTATGAAGGGTTTGTCGACATTTCGTATCATATTTTCTCCACAATACAAACACTCTGAAGCGATAATATTATCGATTTCTGCTTTTACTTGATCACGCCTTGTCATCCCTAAAACGCATCAAGACATGGCAAACATTTGATACAAGAAAAAACACAATTTCTTTCGTAAAAAAATGCTTTTTATTACTTCACTAATAATTACCTGATAAGCCCGTGCTGTTGTTATCAGAGTTCGATTGAGTATTTAAAGATTCCAATTGTTTTTCTAAATCGGAAAGTCGATTTCTCTTAGTCATTCCTAAAAAAAAAGACCACAAACTCATTAAGTACATTCTATGATTACCACCTTGAATCCACAGCCAACAAATAAAACACGCATAATTGCTAGAGGCTGATGAAAACACCGTCTATTTCCAAACTTACCAAGACAGGGCTCTAGTTCAGCCAATAAACAGTCCGAATGAAACATATGGTTGCAGGGAAAAAAATAAAATGGTCTCACCATTAGAATCATATTGCAAACTTCGCATTTATCTGCACTGTTTATATATGTAAAACAATTACGAAACGAATGAATTTCATTCCGCACTTGCTCTGCGGAATTGGTTGCTTCTTCCATTTCTTCCTTCAAAGCCTGAATCTTCTGATTATATTCCTGGTAGGAAAAACGCAAATATGGTTATAAATACATGGTAACCCAGTGTTGCTGGGTGCAATAATAATTATACGTACTCTAAGTGAATTACAAATTGCGTCTTTAAAATGGTCAATAGTTAAGAAGTCGGAAAAGAACGGCAGTATATCTTCGATTTTGATTAGATCGCTTAGGTATTTCATAGCTTCCTGAATATCGTTCTTCTCGCTAACGACATGTTGAGCTGCAACAGTCAAAGACGGCAAGTTTTTTTAAATCTTAAAACCTAATAGGGCTTTGCACATTTTTCTTGTTTGCTTATTTTGTTCTTTTATGGCCAACTAACTGTTCTACGGTTTTTTTTCGGTTTTACATTACTATTAAGAAAGTTATAAGCAATTCAAATTTAAATTTCTATTTAGCGCGCCAAAACGATGCGCCAGCACTTGCTGGACGGCTGACGTCACTAAATGATGTTGAAAAGTTGATGCTGAAAAACGTCTAAAATGTGACTTCAAATGGCACGACGAAATGTGAGTTTCCAAAAAGATATTGACAAAAACTTGTATTTTTGCTCAGTTTTTGAATCAATTGTCGCTGCAACAATATCATCTGTTTGAAGATAATCCAGAACGGACAAAACAAAACATTTTTGCAATTTAACCTTTTTTACTTTTTTATCTTCTCTGCACAGAGTAACTGGGTTAAAATGTATTTACCAGTCGAGTAGTTTTTTATTCAATTTGAGAACAAACAGTTGTAAATATACTAAATTTGTAGCTAATCAAGGGTAATTCATTTTTATATATACCCGTTTTAAACGGACTCACTCAAAAATTCGTAACACATTTTTTTATTTAATACAGTCTATATTGTTCATTTATTATTTATGTGATCGAAAAAGTGAAAAAACCGATAATGTCTTTTCACTTTTTATTTCGTGATGGCGCACAGTCCTGACACTCTGCTTTCACTATTTGTTTCTTTTTTTCGGTCACCATGATAAGAATGGAACAATTCTTCTTAGAGCGAACTCTATACTCTGCACATATTTTACATTTTACTATGCAAATATCACCTCATTTCAGCTGCTCATATCAGATCTAGATTAGGAAAATGAGCTAAATCTTTCCATATTTCCAATGGCACCTCAAACACTTTCCAACAAATTGTAAAAAGCAATTACTTTTAATTTTTATTCAGAAACACTAGGTAACTGTACAGAAGTTCATACGATTTAAATGAAAACACGGGCTACGTGCTTGCCGAACGTGCACTGTGACGTCAGAGCATTTTGACCAGATTTAAAAGCCCATTAACTAGCAAAATTTTTTTTTTCGGGATTTGTTTTTCTTGAAGTGTATTTATAGGCAACAAAGCTTCTATTCTAGTATGTTTTTATTCAAAAATAAATTTTATGCAAAGATCCTATTGCGATATCACTTTTACATTAAACAGCCTCTTACCTATTTTAAGCCACAGTTTCTTTTTTAATTCCAGGTCATTCTCCGGAGACATGTCAGCCATAGTTTTTGCCAATTCCAAATTTACCTTAAGAGCCAAATCCACAGCCGATTCCCACAGGTTTAGTAAAGCGTAAAGTTTTACACAGGCTTCATTTTGCTGTTGCTCCGCACAGAGTCGTAAAGCGAAATATACGTCGTAATTGATCTAAATATTTGATCAAATTAATATTTAAAAAATGCACCACAATATATGAAAAGCAATTAATGTGCTGACATTTCAAAAAATTAATTAAAATACTCTGACTGGAGAGAATAAAACTATAAATACTAAAAACGTATTTCTTACCAAGCTCACTTCTTGACCCTGTGAATTGAGGTATTCCATAAGTTTCTTTGAGTCGTATTTAGCATATAATGAGACTAATAAATTGTGTATAGCCTTGTCGGCATTTTTCAATTTAACGATACAAAACTCTAGATACCTGAAAATATTTATAAGTATTTCGAAATCTACATATAAATAAAGCTAATTAAACCTGATGACTTCTAAAGAATGCAATTCTCCATTACAAGATACCAAAGCAGGTAATAGCCGAAGAGGGCCCAATTTCTTGCCCTGATCTATGAGAGTGTTAACCAAAGGTTTCGGCACTTCTTGCATTAAAACTGGGGCAAATTGATAGTAGAGCTCAAAGTTGTTTTGACTCTTTAATACCTCTAAAGCATCGCGGAAGTTGTTTTTGAAAATATGATGGCGAATCAGCTGAAAATGGACAATCAATAATCAAACTTGGTATCTCGATAAGAATAAAAAATTACTAACTCGCTCAAAATCCTTGCTTACGATAGTTAACTTGATGAGATTGCCCTTATCTCCGTGACTCTCCATCAATTCGTAAATGGTGGACTTGTTGCTACGAATACAATCAGCAACCTAGAAAGCGAAGTTGAGAATATATTCTATAGAAAGTACATTGATTCAATCATTACTTCTTGAAGTGCGATAAAAGTTTCAAACTGTTTTTGAACCTCGTCATAACTGGCGGATTTTTCCAGGCCTTGTAACCGAATTTCTTCTAATTTTGTCAAATAAAGCTCCACCACCCAGACCACTAACATGGTAATTTGAGTTTTTTGTTTTGGATCCAAAGCACCTAATAAAACAAAAAAAAAGCATGCAATTGCTGTTTTTTACATTGGGATGTGAACATCTCCGTAAGGTATTATCGGATTTTTGTTCACAAAACGCATAGTTAATCCTATGGACTTAAACAGAACAATTCGATATTTTCGTTACAAATTCGGAATTCTGGAATAGTGCTCAATAGCTACATACTCAGTTTATTTCGTAGAAAAATCTTTAAGGAATCTGGTTCGTCCACTTTCAGAAACTTTAGACATATTTCTTCAAAAGATGATTGCGCTTCTGCAAATCTTTGGGCACTCAAAATGTACTCCTTTTGTTCAAACAACATGTCAGCTTCCTTTAGTAGAACCTACAATAAATTTGATTAAATTATACAACTGCAGAGTTTTCTATCCATTTTAAAATTAGTTGACAGTAGCGTTTACTTAAGATAGTTTAATTCAATTCTCGTATATTAACCTGATTATAACAAACTTCATTTCCTCTAGAATATTTTTTCGCTAGATCAAATTGGTTATTGGCACAGAAAATTTGCCAAATATTGCGTTCTTCACGGTGCACTTTAAAACGAAACATTGCGTTTTCTGATAACGCCCATATATCTCCTAGAAATTTGACAAAAAAAATAAAGAGACTAAAAATTGCCTAGAAAAATTCAAACGAGTGTTACCTGTTCTAGAATCTCTTATAACACTGACCAATTTTCCAAAGGCTTCATTATATTGATCTTCATATACAACTTCTTTGCTGAGTAAACACATTCCTTTAATACTATCAGTATAGGCAAGTAAAATGTGAAATTCTGTTAAAGCAATAGCAATTGGGTACTTTGGCGATTGGGAATAGTCTTCGTATAAAGGCTTGGGATAAGGTAGAAGAGAAACCTTGTCCTTTACAGTGGCAATTCGGTTGTCTTTTAAATCATCGATCTGAAAAAGTTGAAAATCGGGCGATTTTATTAGATTTTGAAGAAAATACAATTTTTGAATTTTCTATCTTTTTGTGGTAGATACTTTAATAAAATGATGTTTTTGCGATTCAAGCTCCTTAATTAAATATCAGATCTTACCTGGCCGAAGTAAATTCCCTTTTCCGTTACCCATGCAAATTGATTTGGAGTTATTAAGTTTTCAGACCAGAATTGTAACCGCGAATAGCCCAACCTGCTTTCAGATGCTGTGAATCAAAACCGATTTAAAAAATTATTTCAAGGAATTGCTTGGTTGCATGTATTTCACATACCCAGAAATATATCAGTTTCGGGAACATTCAGATATTTCTGAAACACCTGTTGAAGAACCGGTTTTTCTTCCATTTCAGCGGATCCATAAAAGTAATATAATCTTGAGGGCGTGGCCGCAAATATCATGTACTTATTAGTACCAGGCACTTGAAAATATTCCAAAGTGGTTACTGGAGTGTTGCTGTTTTTTCCAATATCGAATACCTGCAATGATTACACATTCTCATAATGAAAATATACATTAAATAATGTTTATCAAGTAAATATATTTATTTCTGCCGGTAACCAAAGCCAAAACCATGCAATGCAGCGTAATAACTATTAATCGAATTTAGAATTCAGTTTGCCAATATGACTCGATTAACTTACCAATCCGTCGACTTCCTTGTTACCATACAAGGGTAGATAATTAGGAAGCTTGAAATATTAATGGTGTTGTAAGAATTTAGAAAGGGAAATTGCATAGTTAAAGTGTATTATATAATTACTTACTTGTCTCCAATATTGCTCCAAACTAGGTGCAAAGAATTTGTCTCCTTCAAGTGATATTTCGGTTTCAAAAATTAGCCCTTTTGATGTGCCTGCGAATAAATGCAACAGTTTGGTAATTAAATAATAACTTATTGATTTTAGCCAATTCACCAAGTAAAATAGGGCCTGTAGTGCTATCAGACTCGTTCATGTTATTCCACCCAATTGCAGTAAACTCGTTACCCCTAAACTGAAATAGTTGAATGACAAAAATTGTCTGCATCTAAGCAAGCATTTACCTTGCCACTAGTCTTAATTTTATCAGATTTTCTTGATAAGTACATCAACTCTGGCATTTCTGTGGACTTAGACTTAGAGGCGAACGTTAAGAATAAATGATTTCCTGTTGGGTCTAGAAAGAGATTGGTAAGCTTTCCTTGAGTGTATTTATTCAATGAGATTTCTGCAAGAAAAAAATACCGTAAATATTTTGAATAAGTTGAAGATTTGAAGACCAGTGTGAACAATCAAATAAAATAAATACATACCATTTCTTTCTGAAGGACTATGCAAGTTCATTCTAAACAGAACATTGTTTGCCATTGCCAGAACCATAAACTTATTGGCAATAACAACATGTGTTACTTTATCTAAAGGTGTAAAATCCTTTTTAGATTTCGTAAAAATTGCAGGCTCTTCATCCAAAAGCACGTCCATTACCCCAAGACTTGACTATAAACCAAAAACACAAATGTATTAATAGATAGAGTTTACGAATGGAGTACTTTTAGTACGAAACTAATAAATACAATTCCTGAGAGATGAGAACACTGTTTGTGTCCAATTTTCCAAAACCAAAAGTAGTTGAATGTTTTGTTCCAAAATCCAAAAATTGATTTGATCAAAATTATAATTATTGAGACTAGATTATAATAAATATACATCTCACAGCTCATTTATAAAGAAGGCGCTTTGAAATTGAAACATATTTTTTTATATTAGTGGTTTCAAAAAAAATATATTTTCAATAGGAACAACCTACCAAATCTGATGATCCTTTAGTTCTCAGTGAAACTTGCTCAAGCTGATCAAATAAACTCGTCATTTTTCTAGTTTCGATCAAGCTTTACCTCTTTAACTAAAATTGGTTGAAATTCTAAAACAAAACCTATAAATATATAAAATATAATGACGTTTCTAATTAATATTGCACAAATATACAAAATCCATCAAATTCATGAATTTTCCATTATTTGAAGTGAATTACAAAAACCATTAGTGTATAATCTAAAATACATTTAGCATTGTAACTGTTCGCGAGTGCAAAAGTCCAGACGCCCCCTGATTGCTAAAATTATAACTACAAGTTAAGTAGTAATTTGACACTTGTTTTGTTGACATCGGTGTCACATTGGTGTTTACAACTGATTGCGATTTGTTTTGTTTTGTTCTAATCAAATTTTACAAGCTTTTAATGAAATAGCAACAGATCGAAAAGCCTGTAGTGTTTTATGTTTGTCATCAACTCAAATAAATAAACAGATCTGACAAGTCTCAACTGTCACTCGACAACGAGTAATTTGACGTTTCTGAAAGTGGCTTGACGGAGCGGAAAGTCCAAGCTAACGCCCCATGTGACCTTAAGGTACCCATTTTATTGCATACAAACATTGACATCAGAAAATATCGAAAAAGCAGGTTTTTCAAATGGCACCTACAAACTTTGTTGGTCCTGTTTGAAAATTTTGCTATCAATAAACAATGTGAGTTGAGAGAAACCAAGAAAGTGAGTAAGCGCCGTTTAAAAAGCCTGACTTTTTGACATTTTTTTATGTCAATGCTTGTAGGCGGCATCCACCCATATGCCATAAAATGGGTACCCTAGTGTCATCTAGGGAGTTTGCTTGGGCTTTCAGCTAACCACCTACCAAATTTGGGTTTTGAATGTAGAACCGTTCCTTAGATATAGCTTGTTCCGTAAACATCTGTAATGGCATTTTTTCTCAAACATCTGATATAAATCCAAAACTATAGGAGATAAGTTAACAAAACTAGGGTGACCCAAACTCATGGGGGGTTTGCATTTATAATAAGAAAGTTAGGGTATGGTTTTCGTACATCCTGTATATCTCGAGGGCTAAATGTATTTTAAATGGTTTCGATACTACTCGTTATGACCGGAATCAAGATTTGAAGTTTCTAAAACAACTGCAAGTTAGAAAACTTCTAATGCACGGTCTACGTAATTCACCCTGTATACCTAGTGCTAAACATTTCTTTATTTTTATGCAGTTGCTTAGTTTATATTTTTATTACAATTACTAACCTCTCTTCTTCTTGCACTAAAATGTCACATGGAAAGCAAGCCTTGTCTCTGAAAATTTAATATTTTCCAAATTTAAAGGTAAACATTAAACACTAATAGCATCAGCTGTTTTGTCTATAGTTGTCAGCACAGAAAAAGGCTTATTTTGTTGTCAGTTTCAGAGACAAGACAAACAGACAAACAAGAGACAGAAGCCTCTCTCAGTAGTTCAATTGAACGAACGCAGGTGCCATATTTCACAAACGTTCCACATTTTCAGGCATAAATATTTTAATTGAAAATAAATTGAAAAAAAAAGGATTTTGTACACTTACATCTAATTTTGAGATTTCAAAACTCATTACACTCAATTATGATAAACAAAGTTAATCGATAAATGAAAGAAACGCTAGTTTTTCAAAAGAGATTTTGTTACAAATTAAAACATACTAAAAAACGGCCTTCATAAACTAGGGACGCTAACGATGAATGTGATACTCAAAAAAGCTTAATACACATCTCCTGACTCAAGTTTAATAAGATTGTACATAAGAATAACTAGAATCCGTTATATTAACATGCTATAGACAGACATACAGGGTGATTCAAAATTGGCGTCATTCCTCTGGAGGTGTTATCTGGGGGTGTCTTGGGAGTACAGAAAAAATAGTAAAAGAAATTAATTGTCATTAAAAACTGAGAAATAAAAATAAAAATAAAATAAATAAAAATATTTATTAAATAAATATTTAATAATAATACATAAAAAATAATATAAAAAAAGGATCGAGTTACAGTCCCTAGCAAGAGAGTTCATTAATTGATCTATAATTTACATATTTTGTCTTGAGTTTGTTTAAATAAGAATTTATTGAAGATATTTGTTAGTTCAATAAATTATTGGTAGTTTCATGAACATTTTTGACTCCAACTCGATCCTTTCGGTGTATAATTGTATTCGATTCGATTTTGTAGTTATCTTTGGTGTTTTCGACATAGTTTAATACATGGTGAATGGCTTTGTGAAAACTCTGGCCACCTTAACAAAAAGCATTACAAAATTCGTCCACTTTTTTTAAATTCTATTTTAAGAGCTTATTAAAGTTGCAAAGACCGCAAGCGTAATAAGTTTTAACACAAAATAGCTCGTAAATCACACTATCAACACGAATTCAGCAAATGTTCATATTTCCCCAATTTTCCTCACCCCCACTGCGAGAATCAGATGTAGAGTCCCAAGTAAGGCGGTCTTCTCGTATTATATGCAATGAAAGCATAGGAATGTTTGCCCAACTTGCATAACTTGTAATGCTCCTTGTGTTATTAATTATCAATACTTGATGAAACTTACTTACTACAAAATGAAGCTCGAATCAGAGTACCATAGTGAATTTGAATAATCTGTTTAGAAAATGCTATGTTCAATATGTTCTACAATCCTGTCTCGAAATATAACCTTTCACGTTCATAGCATGAGAAACGATAGGACTTAAAATCTCAATCGAAATACATTTCCAAAATGTTGGAAAATCCCGCCATACAGTAAAAAGCAACAAAACTGCATGTATTAGATAAAATTCATTTAATTGACTATTAGAAATTAAAAATGGCAGAACTCATGCTTAGTGCACATGTTTTATTCAGATTCCTCTTCTGATGAGTCTTCTTCTTCGGCCTCTTGCAACCACTCCACAAAACGGTTTACTTGACTCCACATTTTGGATTCCGGACTAACATTGGCAAACCATTTCAGTATGGCATCTTCACTCAAATAATCCTTCTCATACAAGTATTTTACCACAAAAATTGCCCATTTGTCTGATAATGGCTCGCCCGATTCAGCGACGTCCTACAATTTCAATAACTCAACAAAAATATGCTATGAATAAAAATGACTCACCTCAACAGCTTGAAGACAGTCGCCCATTGAACTCTGCGATTTAATGTAGTTTTTTAGAACTGGAGTAAAGTAGTTCAATAATTGGGCAAACTTAGAAAAATATTGCCCACCGGTAGGTAACTTATACGACATTATCAAAATGGCTTTGATCACGTAGTAGTTTACCTAGAAAATATAAAATATACGTCTGAACTGATTCTAGTACATTCCTTAAATTATTTGCTTTTCAATTTATTTTCAAAAATGTATTCTATAAAGCAAGGTTTCCCAAACTTTTTGGATAACGGAACAGTTTCCCAAACCCAGAAATGTTTGAACGGAACACTTGCTTTATTTTAAAACCTAAAAAAGGTTACGATATTTTTCATGGGGCCCAGATAAGGGCGTATGAAATGTTAAACAAATGTTTTCGCGGAACACATGTTAGGAACATCTGCTGTAAAGCATTCAATTGAACATTGCATAGTTTCGCTAAATTCCGTGTACTTAAAAAGATTTGTTTATACACCAGAGAGGGTTGAAGGAAAAACTGCATAGATACGCTTTTTCTCATTAACTGGAGCAGCATTTTTTCTGTAAAATAAACGTAAAAACTTACTTCTTCCAGTGTAATATTGTATGCATAACGTGAAGAGTTGACTTCTAAAATCAAATTATCACATAGTAGTTTATCCTCGAATCCACGAGCCAAACTATCTATTACTTCTGTGAAGAACACTGAAATAAAATATAGCCCCTAGTATTTAGACCTATTTTCCACAAAAAATGTTCACCTTTAGTGTCATCAAGCGGAGGAGAGTCGGATCGTGACAGAACATCGCTATCACTAAGTTCCTCCTCAGTTTCGTATTCTGTGTCAGATGTCGCATCATAAAAGTGCAACCTTGACAGTCTCTTAGCTAATATTTTATCCATTTCCAGGTCTTCCTCGTCTTCATCTGCACGCAGTCTATAAGCTGCGTCGCCAAGCTTATCTTCAGGTTGAGCTAAATCTTCAATAAACAGTCATTTTAAAGAGTTGTAAGCATTACTTTAGCTAAAATTTTCAAATAATTTACCATATTCGGATTCGGTGGCTTGGACTAAAGTATTTTCAATCAAGCTATTTTCATTGATCACGACGCCTTTACCCAAAACCGATCCTACGGTAACTTTGGCACCTTTCTTAATTAAACAATCAGAACCAATAACGCTTAAAGATACTATCGCACTATCTTCAATGTGTGTGTTTTCAAAAATAAAGGCATCCTGGATAGTGACCTTTTCTCCTATCACTACATTTGGACCTACAATGCACCTACATAAAATTGCCGATAAAGCAACTTTTGAAGTAGGTGATACAATGGACTCGTTTGGCACCAATCTGCTCCTAGAAATTAAATATTACATAATATGTTCAAATGTTTTCCTAAGCATAATATTAGCCGGCAATGAACATTTTGATTGAACATATTTATGTTGCTTGTACCGTTTAGATGATGGAGTGAGCGGATAAATCCAATTGTCTTTCAGTTCCATGCTGAAAATAAAATAAAACACCTCAGAACTTTGTTGTCTGTTAACAAATACTATCATAAATTTAAAAAATATGTAATTTACCTAATTGACTGATAAGATCGCCAATTATGGACAGATGCTGCATAATTACTGCCCTTTAAAATATGAGAATAGATAGTGCTTCCCAAAATATCCTCATTTATTAATAAGCCCCGAACAAAATCGTCTTTAGTTTGAAAGTCAAAATTATCAATAAACAGTGGCAGTACGGAGGAAGAACAAATGGTAATATGTGTATCTCTGATGTCATGGCGAATAGAAACAACTGGGTTCTCTAAAAAGATTTCCTGAAAATAAAAATGCAAAAACCAGTGCATCAAGATCTATGAATATGCTATTGGGTGTACCAAACTTAAATATATGGCACAATAAACGTGCCTGGTTTTGTACTACATTTCGGAGATTCTACACATCGGAGATTTCAAACTTAATTCAAACGAAATTATTTTTTTAGCAACTTTATGACCGCTAATAACCATTTTTCTATGTGCCAGTGGTGTAACTTTTTGGGTCGAGTGGAATTATTTTGCCCCTGGATTTTAATTAAGAGTATCTTTTTACCACAGAAAACAATGTCCTTTCAAATTGCCTAATTTATTTCTCTTGTAAATGGTATGGTCAAAATAATCCCAAACAACTGCAGAATACACGTCTCTGAAACACGAAACAAGTAAAAATTATAAAACAGCTATAAGCAGTTCTGCTTAAATGTGTACAAAAGTTCAGCTCCCGATAATTGCCAAAATTATATTCAATACAGTTTCGTTCTGTTCTTCAACTTATATCACTTAACTGAGTCGGCATGTATTTTGGATGAAACTATTTAAAAAATTGCTTTAGTAATAACTTACCAAAGGAATGTCAACCCTCTTATCGTTGCTTCTTTTGGTTTTTTTGTGAAATAATACTCTATTTTTTTGCGAAAGAGCAACACAAACTTCATCTTCGGGCGACAAACTTGTGTGTCCAGAACCGCATTCTTGAAATACTAATGTCATTGCAGTGCCTTTGTCCGCTTTACATTGAGCACTATATTCATTAAAAGAATAAAAAAAACAATTGGAATTAGTTTTCATTCAAGAAAAACACTTTAAATGCAACCAGTTCCCACCTATGCCTCTTTAGTAAAGGTAATAATGAAATATTGGACACTACGCCTGGTTCCAATAAAATAAAATCGCCTCTGATATGCCCTTTAGCATCTAAGTCTCGTAAACAATCACCAAATGAACGACAACTCTCAGATACTATTAGGTGTACTTTCATGGATAACGTCCATCCCACAGCCTCTTCCATGCATTTTCTAAAATCAACAATAAATTATTAAGGTGGATATAATTATCAATAAAGTAGTTAATAAGTACAAAAGCGCATTCCCAGATACACGAAGTAAAGCTGATTGCTTGCTTTATTAAATTGACCTATCTTCAATAAAGAAATTGTATGGTTTTATATGACTTGCTTTATCAAATTATGTCGTACATCTGAAATACGATTCCACTAAAACAATCTATATGAAACCCTTCAACCAAAAGCAATTTTAAATTTAAAAACTTTGTAGATTTATTTTGTAGAACGTGTGCAATTTTTAGCTGATTCCCATAGACTTACATTTAAATTGTAACTGAGGAACTAAACGAGTTAGGAAGTTGAAAATTTGTCTTTTGTCTGAAGTTACTCTCCAATAAACTAAGAAACGTACAGAATTTCAGCCTTGTAGCTCGGTGCGATCATGGTTAAATTTGGAGTTTTTATAGGACAGACAAATATTCATTTTTATATATACAGAAGATGAATAATAATTAAAACTTCGCATAATAACGCCGATTTAATTGTTTGGTTACTTACTTTATATGAGCTTTTATTTTGGCAGCATGCTTGCAGCAAAAAAGAAAGGTTTCGTCAATACCTCCAAGTGACAAAAATTCAAGTGTATAATCAATCAGGGGCTTGTTCGCAAGTGGGAATAAACTCTGAAACGAAATGGGAATTTTCAGTATAAAAGTTACATTATATGTAGACCTGTCCGCGTTTAAAATATGAGCATTTAAAAAAGTAAAAATTACGATTTAGCGGATATAGACCAAATCTAGATAAAATAAAATATTTTACAAAAAAAAACACTTTATTCGATCGTAATCGAATTTTTATGATTGATATAGATGCAAACCGTAGATGTATATCTCTTATACAAGGTGTTCTAGTTTACTTTATAAATGATTTACCACTCTAAAAATTATTTACAGGATGTAAATAATTACAGTACATAGGGTGTGTGGTGTTTATGGGGTATCGTACATGGTATGCGGTATTCCTTTTTACCAAATATTAAAATACTTGTGTCTATTTTTTTACAAACTTCTTGTTGGGTATTTCGCCTCAAACATTTTCGTCTTTAAAAAAGACAGAATTTCCTCACGTCTTTTATTACAGATTGATAAATACAGTCTTATTTTGCAATAAGAAAATAAGAAAAAAGAAAAAAAAATTTGAGACGAAATACCCAACAAGAAGTTTGTAAAAAAATAAATCCGCCTCAGCAATATAGAACTTATCTACTTGTGTCTACTTAATTAAGTTCGCACCATATGGGAAACTTTTTTATTATTAATTTTATGAAAAAAAGTTTATTCTTCATAAAAATTCTACTTAGTCCAAACCCTAAAATACAACCATCTGATATTATTTTTTTAGTAGTATACGAGGTATTTCAGAAATAATAAATTTTGCTCAAGAATAGAGTTGTAGTTTTTTATTGAAATTTCGAAAATTGGTATTAAGAAAAGTTAATCAAAATTAAACACTATTCAAATATGCAATTACATCCAATTACAGAAAAAAAATAAATATTTTTTTTAAATATAATTTTTCGTTTTTAACTACAACAATGCAAAATAATTTTTAAACGGTAGAAAGTCCCGTGTTCAATTTTGTAGACATCGTATCGACAAAATGGTGAATGTTTTGTTGAAAATGAAGTTTTCCAGTATACGCACTTTACAGGTAATTTTTTAAAACTATTCTTTGTGTCATTCTACATAAAAATCTATCTTGCTCTTTTTTGGCACGAAAAGTGGTTTGGACTATGGCAATTCCAGAAGAAGTCTGCAAAGCCAGAAAACAAATTATTGTTTGTGTTGTTTGTAATATGTTACTATGTATGTATATACATTTATAAAAACTTCCCTTCTATTATCTATCCATGTTCTCAAGGGTTTACCAAAAAGAAACAATAGAGTGCTGTGTGTCGTTCCTTATATTTTAAAAGGTGTTTCTATGTATTGAAATAATCCATAACGATCTGATAAACTTATCAAAAAATAGTTTAAGCCCTATTGGAGAGAAATGGGGAACTTTGGAAGATGTGTTTTTCCTAATATTCTCTAAACGGTGTACGATCAAACTATGAAATTTTCTATTCAATAAGTGCAATAAGCGGATATGGAAGGACTTTTTTTGTTAATATCTAGATTTTAGTCAGATGCTTTACCTACAAATGTGTGTCTATGTAAATGTTGCCCCAGCTGAATTAAAAGGTGCGAGTTGAGTGATTTGATTTAAAGCCAAATTGGTTTTGGAGAATATGTTGGCTTGCGAGTCTATAAAGCATATATTTAAGTGATTACTCTTATGTGGCAAATTCCCAAAAGAGTGGGAAGAGTGAGAAAAACATTCATCAAATCAAAATATAAATAAGCAGATCTTACGACTTTGCTCTGTTAATAACGCAAGAAACTGCTATACCTGTTATAAATAATACTGTTAAAATTATGAAACCATACTTGACACACACACATGCTTACCAGTGGAATATCATTGGAAATAGGTACAAACTCATTCTCGAATGTATCCGCTATAAGAACAGCTTGCTTATAACTTTCCGTCGACATAATTTCCCTTTTCTTCGACATATTAATATATAAAAATATTTATAATATGTAAATAAAATTTCAGAAACTCCTCTTAACTACTGTAACAGTGTGAGGTTATGTCTAATCTAACTGTAAATTAGTAGTTCCCAGAGACAAAGTTGTCTAGTAGTTGAAGTAGTTCTTATTGTTAATCATAATCCGTTTTGAAAGAATTTGGAAATACATCTGTGATTTTTTGTAATAAAACCAAAATTTGTCCATGATGCTAAAAATACTTTCCTCAATTTCCACAGTTTTAACTGATTAAATTCTCCTTTCGAAAAAGCACTAAAAGTATTTAATAATTAGATTTTAGGGCGTGGTTCATAAATCAGAACTATTTGGCTCTATAGCAACTGAGCTCTATTCAGCTACGTGCCCTTGTATTTGTTTACATTCGCCTACTCTACAATGTATACAAAACTTCAAAGTTTTGTTTGTATCATACAATACAACAATTTTCAATAAATGCTAATGTTCTAATCTGAGTTTGATATTAACAATGGGATCCGAAAAGGTAATTTATATTATTAAAGGCATTACTATTTGGAAATAATCTGATTTTTTATTTCTTAATTGTATGTTTAGCTGCTATTTCGCTTGGAGCAGCCCCATGGGAATGGGGACATTTTTATATCATGGCAAAAGGGATCTGGGATGTACATGGCTACAACTGGAGTCGACTGCATGGTCAATATATTCGATAGGTATGGGGAAATTATTGAGAGGATTCGTTTGCCGAAGTAAGTAAACTAATTATTTGCAGTTAAGTACCACAAGTCTAAATGCATTTTATTTTAATTATTTAGATTTTGTTGGAATTTTTTGGAGTTAATCTTATTGGAAAAACATACTAAATATATTATTATGAAAGGTTGCTCAGGCGTTTTCGCCACTTTTCCTTCGAGTTTCACATTTTAGGAAATGTTCAAGTGAAAGGTTTCAATTCTTTTGATACTCAAATAAATATACAATCGAGGCAGTACATCCAGTAGGCATTTCATTAAGAAATCTTGGAAAAGTCGAAACTAATACGGATCTGTCCGTTGTGGTCGTCAGGAAAAAAAAATGAGTCAATTGTGTCTTCTTTTTTCTTCTTATGTGCATTGGTTTCATTCCACTGGTGGCGCAATTTGCAATAAACAGAATGAGATTTTAGAGATTGTTTCAGGTTGAAACTGTCCGAAAATATTAGAATCTAAAATACCACTTGTGTGATATTTATTTTAAGCGCATCCGCCAACTTGTTCAATTTACAGTGGCAGGCCCGTAATTGGATTCCGCGAAAGAGCCTTCTGAACTAACTTCCTCTCGCATTTCGAGAAAATAGAGGTGGGATCGACGCCTCCGAATAAGTAGTTGAAATTGCGAGATCGCTATTCGAGTATTTCAGGTCAGATTGCTATTCCAATTTTACTACTGAATCTCGCGACCCAAAATATTCTTTAGTAATTGTTATTATATTACTATCTTTCCTGGGTTTCAGTCAAAGCGTGAAGTAAAAATTTTGAAACATCGTTTATTTCATCACGTTTCTCATTACATTACATTTTTTCAAGAAGGCCTAAAAGGACGTTAATTTTGACCAATCATGAGGTAAGTTTTTCCGATGTTTTCCTCTCCCGCAAGGAAGAATTTTTTCCCTCAAAAACTGATGAATGTTTTAGCACTTTGTAAATTGTACATTTTATACAACATGTTTTAATTGTGGTGTTTGTAGTTTGTGTAAAATTTTAAATCTGATGATGGCGCTGTTGTCTCGCCGAAACGTAATGAAATAAACGATCAGGAAAATAAATCAGAATAATTCTGAAGTAATGTAAATTTTACAAAACTAATACGTAAAATTGAATTGTTGCAGCCTATGTACAAGTTTCAGTTGGGATTGTGATGGCGATTTATTGGGAGTCGTAAGCCAGTCCCAATTGATGATATGGGACGCGAATGCTACTAAAAAGAACATAATTGATGTAGGCCTAAAAGATTACATGTCGTGTTTAGTGTGGGCAAAAACTGGCCCTGTATTAGCAGTTGGAACTATGAAAGGAAACGTCTCTATTTATAATCATGATACTTCTAAGTAAGGCTTTTAACTCGAAACTCGATAATAATGGTCAAATATGAAATTTTATGTAGGAGAATACCAATTATTGGCAAGCATACGAAAAAAATTACCTGCGGCGCTTGGAATAGGGATAATCTTCTCGCTCTTGGTTCTGAGGATAAAACAATTTCAGTTAGTAATATTGAAGGAGACACATTAAAAATAATCAACCTAAGGGCCGAACCATCAGATTTACAATTTTCCGAAATAAAACTGGATGAAAGAGTTGGAGGTGAAAATACTGTAAGTCCCAGTTGCATTAATTAAGACACGTCCATTTAGAGATGTTTTGCTTTGTAAACTATTTATTAATTACCTGTAATTAATTTTATTATGTATGCTACTAAAAATAACAGGGCTAAACACCAGACTAAACACAGCGTAAAATATTGAATATATAAATAATTGCAGATCAGTGCTGTGGTTGGGAGGCGAACTCTCTACTTATATAAATTGCTGGATCCGGATAATCCTTTCGAGCTAGCCTTCCAACAGCATTATGGTTCGATAGTTACCTATAAATGGTACGGAGACGGGTACATGCTGATAGGATTTTCCGCAGGATTTTTTATTTCCATATCCACTCATATCAAAGAAGTTGGACAAGAACTGTTTCAAATCAGGAACCACAAAAATATACTAACTGATATATCAATTTGTGAGGCTGTGGGAAAAGCAGCGTCTTGTGGTGATAACAAGTGCGTATGGTTTAATATTTTTCCAAATTAACGCGGTCTGAAAGTAATCCATTCTAGTGTGAAAATTCATGACTTATCGAATCTTCAAGAAACGTCTAGTGTTTTAAGTTTGCCCCAAGAATCGGGATTAGAACGAATTTCGTGGAGCTCTGATGGTCAGTTGCTTGCTGTTATTACTAGGGGTGGATCGGTCAATGTTTACATATCTCATATGCAACTTCTCAGCTCTGTGTGTCCTCCGCGAGTCGCCATTCTGTCAAGCTTAACAGAAGTTAGTCTTTACAGTTATAGCTCTGATAATAAGGTAAAATGCGATTTAAACTCACCATATCGGTTTGCATAATTTATTTCATTTAACAGCAAAAGTTGAAACCAGTTTTTGTCAACTTACCAATCGAACCTTCATTTATTGGTGTTGGTCAATTTCATATGGCTGCCGGTATGAATAACAGGATTTGGTTTTATGACTTGACAAAGTCTCAGCCAGGCTCAGAGGATATGCCTTTGAGTTTAAGCGACCGGCAGTATTTAGGAGCTGTAACTAGCGTAAAGCTTAATCCGGAATACGCGTCTGTTCTTTTTGAAGGAAAAATCCAACTGCACATGGTAAGTGTGTTACCTTGCTATAATTATTATCGACGTTATTTAATAACATGTTTGCAGATTGAACAACCTGATCTTTGCCATGAAGACCGCGAATCAATGATGTTTCCAGAAGCTTTAAATCAAAATCTAGTCATTACTTGCCATGACCTTACTACGGATTTTTTAGTATATGGTACTGATATGGGTCATATAATTTACTTTCATATAGAAGAGTGGTCGAAAGCAATAGAATACAAACATAATATTGGAATAAGTAATATTTATGTAGATCCCGCAGGCACAAGGTTGGTTCTTATAGATGGAAAAGGTCTTGGATACGTGTATAACGGGGTAAGTGTACACGAAAGGATTTATACAGTTATTCAGGTTTATTTTGTTATATCTGTGCTATTAGGTTTCTTTGTATTTGCAAAATTTTATTATTCTGGAAAATATTGGAAAAATATATATTTACTCTCATTGTACTTATTGATGAGCAAAGCAAGACCAAGACTGCAAGGCGAAGACGCTCATCGCTAATTGCACTTAAGCTCTGTTTTAGAAGGTTTACATACATTTAAAAGATAATTCATATTATGAACTTATTGCTTCAGGTTACCAATGAGCTAATACCTATACCAAATATTCCAAGTAAAGTGAACGGTGTCACATGGGACAGTAATATTTGTGATAGAAACATTTTCATTATTTACGATGACAATGATATACATACTTATTTATATATAAAATTACACATTGATGGTAAGTCAAGTGTTTTGAATTAAAAATATTTTTGTTGAGGATTTATGTGCTTTCTGTTATTTTATAAGCCTAATTTTAGGAACACGAGTTAAAAAAATTGGTGAAACTGTTCTGGTGTCAAAACAGATCCCATTAATAATGTATCAGGGAGAAGTTATGTGTGCAACATCTAATGCTCAACTGTCTCAATTAAATCTTACTACTCACGACAGTTCCCAAGTGGGAATGATACTGGAAAGAGACAAAAATGTCACGGAATCCAATTTTTTTAAACAGTTAGCACTACACAGGTGCGTTTTAAATGATGTGAAAATATTTAAAAATCAACCTAAAATTCAACATTTTTAGGTTTCAGTCCGCTTTTAAAACATGCCAACATTTAAACTCAAAAGATTTGTTATTGTTATTAGCTGAAGAATGCCTCAGGTGTCTTGATTTTGATACAGGTGGGTGGAAAACTAACACAAGTTTTATGAAACATAAAAAAATTACTTTGTTTGATAATAAGTCAAGTCTAAGTCAATACTGAACCTTCCAGCGTATTTTGTCGAATAGTCGAATTGAAAAACACTTTAAACCCATTTATTCAGATTTCAATTAGAATAGTAGTTCTTGAATTAAATTACAATTGAAACTACAATTATCAACCGCTAATAAATATTTGTTCGCAGCTATTCAGATTTATAGCAGAATAGATGATGTGTCAATGGTATTGTGTCTCCAGAGCGTTTTAGATATTGAAGATTGGAAGTTACTGTTTGGTTACACCGCTATGTTTCTAAACGAATACGAGAAAGCACAAGCTTGGTTCTTAAAATCGAATCAACCTTTACTTGCTTTAGAAATGAGACGTGATTTATTACAGTGGGAAGAAGCACTACGGTTGGCTAAAAAAATGGCTCCCGAACAGGTCTGCATGATATCCCGGGAATATGCACAGCAATTAGAATTTTTGTAGGTAGATTTATTACTTATTGTTTTGGTAGATTTATATAAAACCTTTTGCAATCTAATGTTTTGTCTTGTCCGAAATATTTAGAGGGAGTTACAGTGAGTCGTTGGTTCACTATGAGAAAGCCTTGCAAGAAAACTTGAGCGCCGAACACACATTCACGTGCAAGGCTGGAATTGCACGAACAACTTTACATTGTGGAAATTATCGTCATGGCATTAGCATAGCTATGGAATTGGACCACAAGCAATTGCTTAGAGAATGTGCCGAAATACTTGATAAAAAAAAGCAAGTTGCTGAAGCTGCAATGCTGTATGAAAAGTGTGATCAGGTAAAACAAGACACCACTTCTTCATTACGTAGTGTAACCATTTGGAACTACTTTGCAGTTTGACAAAGCTGCATCGAATCATATACTGCTAAAAAATTGGAAGACAGTCGGCGAGTTGTTGCCTAATGTAACATCCAATAGAATCTACCTACAGTATGCTAAAGCTAAAGAAGCAGAAGGGCAATTTGAAAATGCTGTTAAAGCCTATGAAAAAGCGAGAGATTATGACTCAATGATTAGACTACATTTAGATCATTTGAACAATCCTGAAGTCGCCGTTGAAATTGTTCAAGAAACAAAGAGCGTTGAAGGAGCTAAACTAGTTGCTATGTAAGTAATTCCTAACTGTTACAGATAGGACAAATAACTTATTCGACTTGGCTGATAGTGATAGTTGATTGCGTGAACGTACGTTTATCATTTCTCGTTAAAAGTATACTGATTAGATGATTTTCTAGGTTTTTCCAAAAACTGAATGACATGTCGTCCGCAATCAAATTTTTGGTTCTATCAAAATGCATAGACGATGCTTTTGAGTTAGCCAAGAAAAATGGAAAACTTGAGCTTTATGGTGAGGTGCTTCTCAATAGTTTTACTGAGGATGAAATAAAACCTAAAGATTTTGCAAATATTGCTCAATATTTTGAAAATGAACGCGACTCTTTTTTGTCTGGAAAATATTGGTTTCACGCCAAAGAATATCAGAAGGTACTACCTGCCATTGCAAATTTTACTACTTATTTACGTAATTTTTGAATCACAGGCAATGAAACACCTGCTTACTGCTGCAAAATCCAACTCTAAAGAAAAGGAAGCTATAACAGTGGCAATTGATGTAGTTGCTTCTTCAAAAGACCAGTCGCTTGCCCAAATTCTTATCGAGTTTTTAATTGGAGATTCGGATGGCTTTCCAAAGGATCCTAAGTATTTGTTCAGATTATATATGGCAAGAAAACAGTACAAAGAAGCATCTAAATCAGCATTGATAATCGCGAACGAAGAGCAGATTAATGGATTTTACAGGTATTGACTACATTGTGCCATTTGCTAGGAATTTAATACTGATATTAAATACGTTTTGAATGTATTAGATTGTTTCGTATGCCCTTTTTTACAGGAATGCACATGATGTCCTATTTGCAATGTACCAAGAACTTAAGCAAAACAGCATTACCATTCCTTTAGAGATGTATACGAATTTGATGCTGTTACATAGTTATATCTTAGTGAGGCTTCATGTGAAAAGGGGAGATCACACGAAAGGCGCGCGATTGCTTATAAGGGTTGCGAATAATATATCTAAGTTTCCTTCTCGTAAGTACTGCAGACAGTGTAATTTTATTGCGGTAAATTAATTCAATCAATTTTAGACATTGTTCCCATTTTAACGTCAACCGTAATAGAATGCCACAGAGCAGGATTGAGACATGCGGCATATAAGTTCGCAACTGATCTAATGAATCCCGAATATAGAAAGCAGGTGGGTTGAGTAGGCTGGCTTAGATCAATAATGCGAGATTTTACGTTCGTAATAATTGATAGGTTGATAAGAAATACGCAAAGAAAATTGAAGCAGTGGTTCGCAAGCCGCCAAAAACTGGAAAAGATGGTGAAGAAGCTGGAGATCCATTGGAATCAACCAGTCCATGTCCATACTGCGAGAAAATGTTACCGGAAAGTGAAATAAACTGCAACAATTGCAAAAATAATCTGCCCTTTTGCATTGCAACGGTAAGTGTACTGTGGTTATGCAAAGTTCAATCTAATAATTTTTACGGACTGTTCCATAAGCCCTAAGCAATTGTGTATGGGGGCATGTTTTTGCAGCATTAAATAAAATGTTAATGTGAATGTTTCGTACTGTTTCAAGTGAATCATTTGAAAATATTAGTATATGTGTATTTGCATATTCTATAAACATTTACGATATGAATGTCGCATCTAAATATTTTTTTAAACAGAATTAGAAGCATGATAATCAGAAAAATGAGACGTACAGTTGGTGACTGTACTGTATTTTATTAAATACGTGAAATATATGTACAATGTATGTCACAAACTTGTTTTAATTTGACAATTTAATTAATTTCTTTATAAATCGTGTTCATCGGTTTTCCTAATCTCTCAGGTACTGTTTTTGTTGATCGTCCTTCACCGATTCATCTAATTATTTTAGTTTTTACAAATAATTTTGAATGTTTGTCTACTATTACGATAATCGTCTACATTTATGTGTCGCCGACTGTACATCTTAGACGTCTTAGTTTCGTGAAAGAAATCTGGCCGGACTTTTTTCTCTACTGAGTACTCTAAAACTATTTCTTAAGGTGTTCTGTTTACATATTGGCCAGTTTCATATTAGTTTTAGGCTTAAGTTTTTTTTTAATTTGGATAGAAAAATGTAAATACATACACGGTGAGTTTTTTTCGATAACTAGTACAGGTACAGCTCGAAAATTACGAATTCGAGTTTAGAATGTGTTCTACTCAAAACCAATTTTATGTTTCTAAAATTTGACAGCTGTCAGGAGATATGTGAAAAAAACTGATTTATGGCAGATTTTTAAATGACTCTTAGTTCTGTCAATATTAATCTGACAGGAAAACATTAAATAAAAAGTTGTAGAAAATTGCATTCCAAAGAACATGGCTTGACACATTTCTACAAATTAACTGTCATTTTTGACTATGTCACAAAGTTTTTTAAATGGCAACCATATTTGATTATGTCTTTATGAAATAGAGCATTTTATTAAGATTTCAGTAATATATATCACATCGTTAGGTTTTCTCGAAAATGAAGTGTCTGTGGCATGCAACAGTGTTTCCATAGCAACAAATGATAACCACAACTTTCATTTATTTGACACTTGTTTTGTTGACATTGGTGTTTGTGGTTTGTTTTGTTTCGTTCTAATCAACTTTTGCAAGATTTTAAAGAAATAGAAACAGATCGAAAAGTGTGTATGTATTGTTTTATGCTTGTCATCAACTCCAATAAATAAACAAATCTGACAAGTCTCAACTGTCACTGGACAACGAGTAATTTGACGTTTCGCAGCGCCACCATCGGTAGTTGAAATGGCGAATTTCCTACAACTTTTCTATTTAATATTTTCTTGTCAGATGAAGACTGAACTAGGAGTTATTTAAAAATCTGTCATAAATTAGTTTTATTTATTATCTCTTGAACCCTATCACATTTTGAAAAAAGAAAATTAGTTTCAAGTAGAGCATTGAAAACTTCAATTTTTTTGTCCGTTTAACCTTTCTCGTATCTGCTGTAGTTTCTAAGATCCTAGTCATCGAAAAAAAGTCACCCTGTATATAAAAATTCTGATTCAAGTTATGGTCCATCATGAATAGTTTCAATGGCGTAGCAATTATTATTTTAGGGCCGTCACATAACTACCAGCGGGCTCACATGTTGCCCGAATTGTGAATTTCCAGCTTTCTGGAATGATTTTCTCGAGTAAGTATAATTATTCTTTGCTTTCAGTAGTTGAACTGTTTTTTTGTGATATTGATCATGATTTCTAAATGCTAATGCATTTATCGGTAGCTTCATGAGTGTTTATTTAGTTTGCACTTTATCTAAAAAGTGCAAACAAAGGGAATGTGGCAAATATATTATTTGTTGTACCTCAATAGAAAAAGTAATATTTAACTCTATAATAATGTTTCCAGAGTTCTGAAAAGCGAAGCTTCTTGCCCAATGTGCTCTGAGCCAGTAGATGAAAATCGCTTAGTTCAATTACAGGATATCAAGGAGTATTTAAATATAGAATAATTTTTTTATACTAACTTAATAGTGTTACTAGTTCCATGATCTCACCCATTTTGTTGCAAATCTTTTGCTGTTATTTTTTCCGTTGTTATCTTTATAAATGTATTATTTATTGAATAATTTATATTAGTTAAAATAAATGCAATATATAAATTAGTGTTTTTTGCTACATTTTCACTTAGTTTTATCTCCATCGAAGTTGCAAGTTTGGGAGTCGTGCTTTCAAATATTTTATTCCACGCGAATACATCCTTGCCATAATAATATTGAGAGCTTGGAATTTAATGTGTGGTTAAAATAGCTACAATTTATATTGTTTCTTTGTACACATTGACAAGACTCTTGAACTTTCTGTTATTCACATTTTAATCAACTTTTTCACATTGACGCACGAGCTACAATCGTGAAATCGATTCAGATTACTGATAATGCCCTGTCAACTATTTAAAGTTATTTGTTGCGTTTCTAGTATTAGTTTTGCCAAAATGCAGTACCTGAAAATACAGGTTTTTACAGCTATTCTCTGTATCTCTGCTTCACATGCGGCGGTTACTCTAAAAGTAAATGGTCTTACAGCGGAAGTCGCAAACGATTTAGTGAAATTTAAGTTTAAAAAAGACGCATCAATTTCTAGTTTATATGTAGGCGGTGAAAATGTTGTATCAGGTGCGGATAGAAGTTTTTACCTTGATTGGACTGGAACTGGTGTGTAACTTCAGCATATCTAGCAAAGTACTTTAATTATAGAATTTCTTTGAGGTGGTGAAATAAGGCTGAAACCCAGTAGTATAGAAATTGTGCAGCAGACTGATTCAATAGCACATTTCTATTGGGTGCAGCAGAGCACCAGAGCTGATGATGCTTTCGATATTGAATTGCATTATATTCTTGAAGAAAATCTGAGCGGCATATATTCTTATGTGAAATACAGTAATGACAAAGCGAGTAACATTTCCTTTGGAGAAACCAGAATGGTAGTTAACTATGCAGGAATTTAATACGCTTTAGTCGAAAATATGTGACATTTTAGATTTATCGGTTTAACCCATCGATATTCACCAATGGGGCGAATCAAGTTTATTCACATCGTTTGCCAACGAAAAATGAAATTACACATTCCCAAACTGTTCAGGATTCTACGTATAAGTTTTCCAACGGAACATACTTCTCAAAGTATGATTATGCTGTGTATATTCGAGAGACTCAGTATCAGGGAGTATTTGGAAATGACTATGGGGCATTTGTTATATCGCCTAGTAGAGAATATCACGGTAATGTATCAGGAAATTATAATTATTGTTAAAAAACTGTTTAGTATTCATCTATTTAGGTGGTGGTGCAATGAAGCAAGATCTAACAGTTCACCAGTATTCGTTGGTTGCTAATTATTTCCTAAGTGCCCACTTTGGATCCGCATCTTTTAATGCTTTTCCCGGCTGGACCCATATTTACGGTCCATTTTTGATTTATTTTCCTTCGGGCAACGATGAGCAAATTTTGAATGCCGTTGAAGCGCAAGTAACCATTGAGCAGGAAAAATGGCCGTATAGTTTTGTGAATGATAATGACTATCCCTTGATAAGGTAGATAAGTGCAGGAGTATTTCCAGCTAGGTTTTAGATACTGAAAAGTACTGCATTTTTAGAGGATCTGTAAGTGGGAAAGTAACTGGCCAAACAAAGGCTGCTATTACTTTGTATGATTCAACTGAAGAACAATATGATTTACAACAGCTGGGTTATTTGTACGCTACGACTACTGATGCTAACGGGAATTTTGTTATCAATAATGTACGTCCAGGATTTTATAAAATAGTCGCGTATCCCGTTGCCGGACAAGGTAGCGAGAATTTAGCTGAGCAAACTGTAACAATTACAGCAGGTAAAATTGAAGATTGTGTTATAATAATAAGTACATTAATATTAGTTAGTTCTCAAGTTGAATTGGTTTTTGCTTTTCATTATTTTGCTTGCTTTTCATAATCTCGAAATACAGATCTTGAGAGAAATTGGTCGCAAACAATAAGAATTCTTATAAAGTTGCTATTTTACTTTTTTTCCATGCATATCTACAACGTTGTTACGTGGGCATCGATAATACAATTTGCAGGTGCTTCTGAAATCGTCGATTTTTTTCTACCGGAACCAGAAAATATTCTTTGGGCAATAGGGGAAGCAAATCGCCGTTCTAATGAATTTAACTATGCAGACCAGGATCGAAATTACAAATGGGAATTTGAGCCTCCCGTTGAAAATACTTTCATTGTTGGGGAAAGCGATCCGAGGAATGATTGGTGAGAATATTTTTCATGCAATATAATTGAAAATAGTTTTGAATAAATCCCAATCCGAAAAAGGTGCCTATAGAACTGTTGCAATAAAAGCAAAATCATAAGTCTAAGGTTAGCCATTTCTTCTATCTGAAGAAAAACAATATGTCTACTTAAGTTGTAGGCAGATAGGATTTTTTTATTATTAATTTAAAAAAATCCGTTTAAAAAAGGGAATGGTAAAAATCCTAAAATGCTATTCATCAGATATATATATTTTCCAGAATCTGACTTAAGGTTAAAGTATGTTTTTTTAATTAAATTCAAGAAAAGCGTTTGTCAGAACTGGAGACTACATTCAAATATAGGATTGCATCGATCCATCGGGTAAAGGGAGATTTTAGCATTTTTTCGAAAGTTTTTAATAAAATTATTGATTAAGAAACTCGAAGTTTGTTACGTTTTTAATAACCAAAAAATGCCTATAAATATTTATTTTTGAAATAAAACCAATAAAATATAAAATTACTTATAAAGGAGAAATGAAAAGGTAATGTTAGAAAACTATAAAACTTGATTTTTACAGTAGATTGATGTAACATATTATAAATTCTTATCAACTTTTCATCAGCAACTTTAATTGTCAAATTCATATTTTTTCAAAAATTGTATAAAAGAATGAAATAAGAAGTGTGAAAAAGTGAAGTATATTTTTTGATAAAATCTATATTACAAACGTTTTTCATATGGCTAAAAATTACTTTTTCTTGTTTCGCTTTATTTCGTGATAAGTATGGCTTAATCTGATACTTTCTAAGGCCTTTCAGCTATTCTTGTTTGAAAATATTGTCTGGTTCTTCAATGCTCAGTATCTCTAGAAGCAAATCTAGTTTTTATCATCTGGTAACTCTTCATCTAATAATAAATACTGCAGAAATCATATTTTGTATGGATACAGTGACTCGTAATTAAGGTTCGTTCAATTAAAAGGAAAGCAGATATTTTATTTTAATTTTAGAGAAAGCTATAAAACATGATTTGATATTGAAAATTCTGATCAAGTTTTAATCAGCAACTTTAATTGCTTTTAAGCTATATTCATATTTTTTCAAAAATCTTGTACACTAATAAAAAATTTAATGGGAAGTTTTACACTTGCATTGTAAGTTTCAGTGAAGAATATATTTTGATAAAATATATATTACTTTATCTTATTTCGCTTTATTTCTTGATAAGTTTATTTCTTCATAGGTGCTCTTGTGAAAATATTGTCTGGTTCCTCATTGCTTAGTAATTTTACTTACTTTTACTACTTTACTTACTAGTAGCAACTCGAGTTTACTTCATCTACTAGCTCTTCATCTAATAATAAACACTGCAGAAATCGTATACTAATATGGATGCAATGATTCATAATGTTCGTGCAATTCAAGGGAGAGCAAGTATTTTATTTTAATTTAGAGAAAACTTAAAAACATATATAAAAGATCGGTGTAATGTAAATTTTGATAAACCTTTACACCAGCTATAAATTTGAAAAAAAAAACAACACTGTATAAATAGCGAAGTTAAAATGAGTTACACAAGCAGGATCAGAGTTCGAACGCAAGGCTGCTGCATTTCAAATCATCATCATCATAAACATCTTCACTATCATGCATTTTTTAATTTTATTTATTCACATAACCAATTGTACCTAATTGTAGGTATTACGCTCAGTCTCAACCTGGCACATGGACAATTAAATACCAAGATAACCATGATGGTCATTCTCGAACCCTTCGCTTACCTCTAGCTGCTGCCAGCAAGTCAGTCCTTCTAGTCTCAATTAATGGGAACAACATAGCGCAACTTGAGTTGACAAATGATGCTTCTATTTACCGAAGCGCATTGCAGAGCGGAAGATATCGCTCCGTTATTTTGCCAGTCGAACCTTCACATGTCCTCACAGGCGAAAATACTCTTGATTTAACAGTTCACTCTGGAGCTGTTATGTATGATTGTATAAGCTTGCAAGTAAATGGCTGATTAAGTGTACTTCAAATAAAAAACCTTTTGGGGTGACAATAAATAGTAACACATGTCCACGATATCCCTGGTGTCTCACGGTCAACGTCCATTAGAATATTTCGGGAATTTATGGGATTTGAATCCTGCAAATTTGGATAATGGTATTTTCGAAGACATTATGCGACTTCCGGTTTTACCGGAAGTTGTTTCAAACTTCAAACCCTACATAATGTTTTTACTTGTGTTCCTTTTATTTCCGATAACGTCAATGAAAAGTTTGTCTACCCTACTCTATCCGTTTCTGAGCAAAATATAGATTCTCATAGGCCTGGGTAACACTTTGTAGAGTTGCGCTTCTGAGTTGTTGCCGGTCTCTGAGTTAATAGGTTTTAACTTATCGGTTAATGAGTTATAACTCATTTACCGATGGAGACTGGAATTTTAGCATCTTACAAAAGGTCATCAACTCAAATTCACTGAGTTACCTTCAAGGTTCAAAAAAAACGAGTATTCGAAAAAGACAATAAAGGAGACCAAACTATAAAGACGACGAGTTTTCTTGCAAAATCGATCTCTTAATTTTTTTGCAAAAAAGGATCTTAGTTTGCCAGTTTTTAACAGAGAAATGTTAAGAAAAAACACGTTTTTCTGTTTGGAGAAAGTTTTGTTTAGAAATATTGACCTAAAAGTGAAGAAACCGGAATTTAAAATAAGCCAAATTATTCAGAGTGACGAAGCTGTTAAGGAGGCGAGTGTTAATAAAATTTATTTTATAATTTTTCACAGAAAATACTGAAGACTTAATTTTAACGTATTTTTAAGTGAAACTAAAAAATAATGCGTTTTTTGCGTGGAAAGAATCGCTTGATAAAATCTTTGCTAAAACGCGTTTTCCAAATAATTGAATATAAACTTTCCCTTATTCTCTTCGGGGAAGTTTTTTTGTGAAAAAAAACCCAGAAAAAATTATTAGGGTTTGGTCCAAAATTCGAAGCTGCAAAAGATTCTGGAAGTTTTTTTACAAAGCTGTTAAAAAGGCGAGTGTTCCATTGAAATTTATTTTATAATTTTTCACAGAAAATACCTGAAGATTGTGAGTATTTTTAAGTAAAACTAAAAAATAATGCGCTTTTTTGCGTAGAAACACTAACTGCTAAAACTGGACAGACCTAAAATTTTAAAGAAACTTTAAGAGAGCAATGAGATTGGCGAATTTTCCAAATAATGTTTTATAAACTTTTCCTCGCTGATCGTTTTTTTCAAGATAATTTTAATTACTTTCGCTATAAAACTGAATAAAATTTTGCTGGTTTTTGTGGAAAATTCGAAGCTAAAAATTGTTTTCTAAAATTCCCTACAAAGCGATGAATGAGGAGAATTTTGTATCAAAATTAATTTTGTCATTTTTCGCTGAATAGACCCCATGCCTGTCAGGAAAGAAGAAAAGCATCAGAAAATAATGGTTTTTTGCGCTTTTGATTAAAAACTTAAGTTTTATAATCGGTTTTTGAGAAGACCTTAATGATTTTCGTGAAAAAACGGGAAAAATTTATTTTAGTTTTTGTTCCGAATTAGACACGGAAAAAAGTTTTTGTAAAATTCCTACAAAGCTCTAAATTTATCGTGTAATTTTTCGCGTAAGATCCAGATTGTCAGTATTTTTAAGTGAAACTCTTCAAAATAGAGAGTTTCTGAGTAGAAAGTAAAGCAAGAAAAAAATCAGTCATAACTAAAAGACCACAATTTTTTATTACAGTCTCTCTCAGAGTTTGCCAAATAATGAGTAATAAACTTTCGCTGATCCGATAAAAAAGTATTTCATTTTTGAGCCAAATTCCAAGCTGGAAACGGATTTGGAAACTTTTGCAAAGCGACGAAGGAGGCAAGTGTTCTAGTAAAATTTAATTGATAATTTTTCGCCAAAAATGCCTTAAGATTCTCAGTATTTTAACACTTATGTTAAAATAAATATTAAAACGATAAACGAAAATAAAAAGGATCATCAACATTTTCTCAGCAACGGACCCTAGTTACTGCGCCGGTGCGTTGGTTTGGGGCGCCAAGCCATTTGCGCCACACTGCCCCAACTCTTAAAAATTTACTGAGTTACCCAGGCATAGTTTTTCATAAAATTTTATCATTGTCAGGGTGTCGCGTAAATTTGAATATAATTTCAAAGATGGAAGAGTGAAACTGAAAATCTCAGTTGCTATATTAGATACTATTCTGCTCGATAATATCTTTATTCACTGTCAAAAAAAGTGAAAAAACTTCATTATTTTGATTGCTACGATACGTTTCTGATTCATTCTGTGGGTGGAACTTGCATAAGTTTGTGGAATTTATATAAAATAAAATAGGTGGAATTTTGGGAGACATTGACAACATTGCGAAAACTTTAACTATTCACTTTTTAAATGTTTCTGACTTTCTGTCGGTTTTTTCTAATGATTTTCTATTTTATTTTGAACCGTTTTTTAAATTTCTGCAATTTTTCGATTTTAGTTATTTGTTTTTTTCTCAGAATGCGTTCTGAAAGATTTTTGATCAAAAATGTATTTGAGTTTCATGGCACTTTGTTTTACTAAGCATTTTTCACGTATTTCTCTTCATACTGACCTCAGATGGAAATTTCAGCAAAAGCAAGATAATATCAATGTTGGCATTGTTAACAAAATTCCAGGGGATTTGAGGTCGAAAACTCGATTATTTGATGAACATGTTTGGATATACTGGGTTGTAAAAACCACAATCTTCTGTAAAACCGGCTTTTTAGGCAATTCAAATCGGTTAAGAAACGTAAGATTTATTACGATTTGAACATCGATCAAAACAATTTTCCATTTTCCACTAGCCAAACTTGAGATCGATTTGAGTATCAAACAAGCATTTTGAGGCACGAAAATCGCACTTTCTTTAAACAAAATAAAACTGCGTTGATGCTCCCTAAAAATTACGGTAGAGAAAACTAAGCTCGGTTAAAGAACTGAAAAATTATAATTTATAATGGTTTGAAGGCCAGATATCCACTTTTTAAGCCAAAAATATTTTAAACTCACACTTTATGTAAACGCCAGATGTAAAATATTCAGAATTGTTATACTTTAGGCAAACTTTAGATGCATTTAAGCGCAAATACTGCATTTTTGGATCAGAAAATGGAAATATTTTATTGAAAATTGGACGCAAGTCGCGAACCTGAATTTTTGTGAAAAAATATTTGCGCTCGCTTGCTTAAAAATTCACATCTCCCAGACTAAAGCAGGCAGGCAGTTGCGTCTTTTAGCATCTTTAGTAGGCACTTAACTATAGACGTGGAAAGTTTGAAAAAAATCCATCCGGAACCTGATTTTGGTCGGCTTTGTAAATGTGACTCACAAAATTGATAGTGTCTGTCAATTGCGCTCGCTTACTTAAAAATACAGTTTTTGTTACCAGCTTTAGTGGACATTTGATCCGATAGACCGATAGACGTAAAAAGTTTCAAAAAAATCCATCCGGAACCGGATTTTTGCCGGCTTTGAAAATGTGACTCACAAAATTGATGGTGTTAGCCAATTGCGTCCGCGTACTTAATAATTCGCATCTCCCACAATAAAACACACAGGCATTTGGGTGTTTCATTTAAAATAAGTAGGCTTGAGACAACTTTTGGTATAACCGGAAGTCCCATAATGTAGCTGTTATTTCATCTGAAAAGAGAGTCTCCAAAAATTTCCGAACTATTCTAATGGACGCTGACCGTGAGACACTCTGTATTTATTAGGCCATTACTAACATACATATATGATTTTAAGAATTCCTCATGCATTTTTCGGACATTTTTCTAAAACCTAAAGGTGCAAATTCGGTTAGCAATAACTACTTATATCCATCCAGTTCTTTTTTGGCCTGTTAACTTCGAGCACATGTAAAGCTCAGGAGCTCTATCTTGCGGCTCTTCCTCAATAGGGACTTTAACACTCTTATCCTTAGCAGTATCGGACAGTGGTTTCTTTTTAGGTTCTGCTGCAGCGTGTAGTTTTGGCACTGCTCCCGCTTTGTCTTTTGTTTCCAATTGGCTGGTTGTAGCAGTTTCAATCTTCGCAGGCTTTAATATTTCAGTTGTCGGCAAACTTTGCGATTCGGCATCGATAAGCGATGGATGTTTCAGCTTAAGTGAATCCTTCGCCGCAGCTAATCCTGGTTCTTGGGAGGGTTCGCCATGTTTCGCGGGTTCTAAAAGAAGGCCCCTTATAGCCACAAGCTGAAGATTTGATATCAACCAATACCTGAATCTTCAGTGTCCTTTAAGGGAAGCTGTGATTTAGCACATATTTTCTGTTGTAGTTCGCCCTACAAATGATTAATTTGAAAATTGCTAGGAAAACAATGCCAGTATTTTGATTAATCGACTCCATTGTATTAAGACTCTCCGGATCATAAACAGAGAAATTTGGTTTATTAATGACACGTAAACATTGGTAAAACTATACTTCGATTAAGCCATTTGTTAGCTATTCTAAATATTTGCTGGACTTTCCTCTAGTAATAATTAATATCTAACGATAACAAAAAGCACGTGGGCGCAATTTATAAATAATATCTGGTATAGTTTACGGTTCCTTGCGAATTTATAAATACATCGTTTATAGAACTTAGAAAAATATACTTACGCCAGCTATGCGCTTTTCTTCTTGAGCACAACTCGATGCGTTACTTTTTGGTGGTGGAACTGGCGTGCAGCCTGGAAAATCATAGAGCTCGAACTACATAAACATTAAAATTATTTGACTAAAAATAACTCAAAGTCTGGTCTGGTCAAAATTAAGAACATACTTGTGGATTTAAGGTAGCACTGTTCTTATGTTGATTTAAACTGTTTAAGAGTGTGCTATTTCCAGTAGTGGTGCCAGCGTGTAAGTATATGAATTATATACCTAGCTTGAACCAAGTTTGCTTAAGCAAGTACTTACTCACAAACTTGACGCTTTGTTTTTTTATGTCTTTGGGCGGCCCTGTTGATTCTTCTTGATTGCCAGTCTTGTAGTCTTCCTCAATTTTCTTCGACATGAATTTAGCGTACGCAAGTCTGGCGCCTCTTGGTACCTCAACTAACTTTGGATTGTACTCTGAGAAACAATTTCAATACTAATAAAAATAATAGGAATAAGTGTGTACACATTGAATGGAATAAAAGAATCGGTCTTTTTGTATTGAAGTGTCTAATTTTTGGCCTTTTTCAAGCCTTATTAGCAAAAAATTACAAACTTCAATACAAAAAGAACGATTCTCTGTTTTAATTTCAATATTAATCAGCGTCCAATATTAAAGAATGGTTTTGATGTATCTTCCTGACTGCGTATAATTGTTATTATATTATTATCCTTACTGGTTCTCAGTCAAAGTGTGAAGTACAAATTTGAATATCGCTTATTCCAATACGTTTCGGCGAGACAACAGCGCCATCATCAGATTTAAAATTTACACAATCTACAAATAGCAATTCACAATTCAAACATGTTGTTCAAAAACTATAATTTATAAAGCATTAAAACATTCATCAAACATTGGTAAACATTTAAGGTTCAGGAAGGCAAAGACCTAAAAGAACGTAATGTTTACCAATTATGAGAAAAAAATTTCAAATATTTTGCTCTCCCAAAAGAAAGCATTTTTTCCTTCAATAACTGATGAATGTTTTAATGCTTTATAAATTATAGTTTTTGTACAACATGTTTTAATTGTGAATTGGTGTTTGTAGTTTGTGTAAATTTTAAATCTGATAATGGCGCTGTTGTCTCGCCGAAACGTTATATGAAATGAACGATATGAACATTTTTGCTTCACATTTTGACGGAATCACAGAAAATAAAAAATATAATAATTTAAAAATGCTGACAATATGGATCTTACGCGAAAAATTACACGATAAATTTAGAATTTTGTAGAAATTTTACAAAAACTTTTTTTCGTGTCGAATTCGGGACAAAATCGAAAATAAATTTATCCCGTTTTTTTCACGAAAATCATTAAGGTTTGCTCAAAAACCGATTATAAAACTTAACGTTTTTAATCAAAAGCGCAAAAAATCCATTATTTTCTAATGCTTTTCTCCTTTCCTGACAAGCATGGGGTATATGCAGCAAAAAATGACAAAATTCTCCTCATTCATCGCATTGTAGGGAATTTTAGAATTTTCAGCATCAGAAAATTGTATTTAGTTTTTAGCGAAAGTAATTAAGATTATCGTGAAAAACGATCAGCGAGCAAAAGTTTATAAAAAATTATTTGGAAAATTCGCCACCCTCATAGCTCTGAAGATTCTTAGTTTTTTTTAGCAAAGATTTTATCAAGCGATCCTTTCCACGCAAAAACCGCATTATTTTTTAGTTTTACTTAAAAATACGTTGAGACTAAGTCTTAAGATATTTTCTGTGAAAAATTATAAAATACATTTTATTAACACTCACTTTCTTAACAGCTTTGTAAAAATGTTTTTAGAACATTCGCAGCTTCGAATTTTGGACAAAACACTAATAATTTTTTCTGGATTTTTGCCCCATCATATTTCCCCGAACAGAACAAGCGAAAGTTTCTAATAAATTATTTGGAAAACGAATCATCTTCGTCATTGTGAATAATTTGTTTTTTTTTTAATTCCGGTTTCTTCACTTTTAGGTCAATATTTCTAAACAAAACTTTCTCCAAACAGAAAAATGTGTTTTTCCAAACGTTTGTCTGTTAAAAAATGGCAAGCTAAGATCGCTTTTTGCAAAAAAATAAGAGATTGATTTTATCAGAAAACTCGTCGTCTTTATAGTTCGGTCTTCTTTATCGTCTTTTTCGAATACCTTTACCTTTAAATTTGGGACAAAATTATCTTTTAATTTAATTGTGAATTGGTGTTTGTAGCTTGTGTAAATTTTAAATCTGATGATGGCGCTGTTGTCTCGCCGAAACGTAATGAAATAAACTATATTCAAATTTTTACTTCACACTTTGACTGAGACCCAGGAAGGATAAGAATATATTAAAGAATGGTGTTTACCAATTAGCTTCTCGTCCTCAATGTGTACCGGTTGATTTACATTTGAAATAATATGCTTCCTCAAGCTCTGCCGCTTCTTAATCGATTCTTCAGCTTCTTGAGCCGACCCAATTGGATTGCTGGCCGTGGTGTTTCTCCTGACCAGGGCGTTCCAATCTTTCTTTTTGCTTTTGAATGTTGTTCGTCTTCCAATCACTTTCGCAATTTGCCCGAAAACGTTTTTCGGTTCTTCCAGATTTTGCTGTATTTCGTTTACAATATTGTCCACTATTCCAATGTGGAAGTCTTTCAGTAGTCGGCGTTCCATAGTTTTGCCTTTCTTTCCAGAAACTACGAAAGGAGGATTTGGGTAATTTATAAAAGCATCTTTTGTGAAACACACACTCAACGTTTCAATTATGTGCAGGATTATATAAATTGAGGTCGAGAATAAAAGACAGAAAAAAACTAAGAAGTACTTAATTAAAAACATTATCGATCACCTTTTGTGACAATAAATTGATTTTTTTGCATTTTTTAAACGGTGTTTGGATGGTAGGTAATAAAGCGACTAGCAGTGATAAATTAAGGTAAGCTTTGAATACGAAATTAATAATAAGCATGAAATTATTTTATAAACATTACAAAGAATAATAAGTTAAAATGTTTAAAAAAAGGTAGAGCTAAATACAAAATGGGAAACTTGTTTGTACCTTGAGTATCCTCGATTGAAATTGTAGGTGTTTTCATGCCATTGTTGCGCAAAATATCAATTAGCTCATATCGCAAAGTGGATATGTCTTGGCGAATTTCCATTACATCGTCTTCTGTTATTCCAAAATCGTCCCTCTTTCTCTGCTCAGCTGTAACATACCTTCGAACCAGCAATTTCATAATCGTCTCATGCTTTTCTCTCGCAAGTTCTCTGGATTTATTCTGCATTAAAATAAGGGAAAAAGTGTTACTCTAGTTTTTACTACTCTTATATTTAATTAAAACTGAATATGGATTCTGTTAACAAAGTCGCATGGTGATCGAGTTTTTCTTTGATTTTATGTATTTCTTTATGTAGCTTATTTTTTTTATCTATCTGGCTTATTTAGCGGACAACTTTGGATAATTATTTTTGTTTTTGTTTACAAATTTAAAGAAAATTAATCGATAACTCAAAGTAAGGATTGAGTTTTCTTGGCTTTGCAGTTATAAGACACAAGATTACCTACATCATCATTTTATGACCGAAAGTCGAAAATCAACAAATGATTTCCAAAGAATAGAAATTATTAACAATTGAAGAACTTACTTTAAAACTCGCAGAACTCGATGTGCTTTTCACGCAGCCCATTTTTTTGAAAATCACTTTTGGTGTTGGCATTATATTGAACGGTGCAGGCAGCGAATCGCCATCATCAAAATAACTGACCCACAAGCGACTTCGTGCAAACTTCCATTCCGTATCCGATCTTTCCTGCAATTGTAAATGTTAGTTAAAGTTGTTCATGGTTCCGTATAAATAATGAGCTGATGGGTACATACAGAAATAATTTGATATGAATTGGACATCATGGCTATAAGCATATTGAGCAATACTATTACATTTATAACAGAATATGAGCCGAACATGAGCAATGCCCAGAATCTGGTAAATCCTTTGATTCCGGACAGTTCAAAGGTCATTAGATCAACTAGGCCAAAACTAGCCCAGAAGAGTGACTGTGAAGTTTCAAACAAACTGAAAAAAGTACAAGTGTGAATCAGTGATAATATTTACAATAAATAATACTAGTAAAATTAAGTAAACGCTTTTAACTAAGTGATCGAACCAGGATAACAATAGCAATGTAATAAAAAATTGAAAATATAACTGAAATGTTGGAAATCTCTCTCTTCTGTTGGGAGCGTTTTGAGGCGCAAATACTACTGAAAAAGAATAACAGGTTAAAACTATTCAAATACATAATTTAAAAAAAAATTAACTAACAAAACGCAACACGTTTTGTGTAGTTCAGGAACGGGTTAAATTAAACAAATTGTTATTTTAGAAAGTATTAAAACTTAATAATATGAATAATAGAAGAATAATTTCGCGACATTCAAAAGCTATTTCAGTCTAATCTCCAGAAAACATTACTGAACCATATAAAGGCATAGTTTTTGCTTCCAGTTTTCTTGAAGATTACAATTCGCAAACTGACACAGTTTTTATAAAAAACTTTTACTTCGCATATCGCCTCCAAATAGTACAGGCCTTATCGTTGTTGTCAAAATCCGGTAATCCATTGGGCAGGTGATAACATTTGTTTTTTTCCAATTCTGCATAGTACCAAAGCAACTGATTCAAACCTGAAATTAGCATCTAGTTGAACATTTCATTTGTCATGCATGAATGTTGAAAGACTGACCGCATCCGAAGGCAAAAAGCACCAGAGTGTAGATGAAGAAAAATTTTACGATATCAATTATCATGCGGCCGAGGGAAATTTGCAACGGCCCCAGATGAGGATTGACGCTGAATATATGAACTAACTTTAAGAAGCTGAAATAATAGATTAGATTCGTTTTAATATCGGTTTTTGGGTTGAAATACCTGAAAATCATGCCGGCAGCAAAAGCGCCTTCCGATAACAGCATCGGCTCGAATGAGTCCCATTCTTCTCGAGGATACCATGTTTGTTTGCCCATTTCTTCATCCCTCTAGCTCAAAATTATTGAGTGAATTCGCGCTTATACTTAAAATCCTATCATTGTCTAGCTGTTTACGCAGTGTATGTAAGTAGAAATATGTGCGTTTCTTACCCAACATATATACCAAGAAGTGAGCCGAAGAGAGAGCCACATAACGTAAAATATGTTCGTTATAAAATCCACTATGTTCCATAAATCTGAAATGTATTCTAAAATTCCGTCAGACCACAAAGATCGCAACTCTGCCCATATTAAACCTGAAAATTGATTAAAGGTAATTTATAGCGGATTTTTGCTAATCTGAATCTTATCTTGATAAAATGCGTAAAAAAGCCACCGTACAAATTTAAACACTATAATACCAAATTTTTTTTAATTATTAGTATCTACTGCGGGTCAACGATTTGTTAAATTTGCTTTAAACATATGCTTTTGTGTTTGTTTGACACGTTTCAAAGCTTTTCACAACTTTAGTAACTTAGCCTTTTTATAAAGTGCATCTTTAAAAAATTATAACCACAACATTGAATCAAAAACTATAAAAATGCAATGCATTAAAAAAAATGACTACAAATGCGTTTTTTAATTTTTATAATAAATTATGTGCAACAAATGTTTCAAATACAACAATTGCGTACCAAGAATCGAATTCATACAAAAACTTTAATCTGCAATCGGTTTTGTAATCTTCTAAAATTCATTAGTTGACCCGAAATGTTCCAGCGTTTTATATTGACGTCTAAAACTATTTCGGGCTTCGCTAGTTCGATAAAAGTTTGGGAATGAGTATCAAGAATTTCAAAATAATGTAAAATGTGTTTCAGATAACTTTTATGAAACATAATTAGGTATGTAAAATCGATATTTTGGCCCTGAAAATATTCTTTTTTTTTAATTTTTCTATAATAATTATATCTATAATATCTATAATAATTAATATATTCGTCCTTAATTTTAGGGAGTTAATATATTGAACGGGAAATGTTCAAAATTAAATTAAAACTTACTTATTACGTAAATAATAACACCATACTCTGCCAATCCAAAAAGTGCTCCTCGTTCTTTCCTCTTCCATTCTTTGACCATGTCTTGTACCCAATCTGTTCCCAGTAGTTCCAAAACCAAAATTTCAACTCTTTGCGAGGCTGCTCCCAACAACACTGAAATTTTTACAAGTGTACAATTTTATTGAGGCTGAAACTAAAGGATTTCTGAAATGAATCACATTACAATACATATGTTACATAGAATGCCATTAGAAGATTTTGGGTACAAGATGCCATCATACTGTTTTTTCTTCCAAATAAGTCTACTACCTGAACGAAAGAAATACCAGTATAGACTTTAGCAAACAGTTTAAAATCCTATAATGTACACGTAAAAATATATTGTATGTTAATAAACACAAAAAAAATAGCAAGATTACAGAATAATAACGCTCATATTTATGACAAGCAAAGAAGCAGCACTGAGAATTTAAAATACGTTTTCATAATTTGTATTTTTTTAATCTTTCAAATATCAATTGTAAATATGTAAAATATATTTATAAACACGTTACATTTTTCGTCGTATTTTAGCTGTGATCTAGAAAATTCCCGTTGTGATAAAACTATTATTAGTAGGAATTACAATTTTATTTAAGACAAATATGCGTTTATAAATATTTAAATGTGACTTTGGGCTTCTAAAAATAATCTACATCAACAGATAACGCGAATTCCAACACCAAATCAATTTATGATTAAAACTATAAAAATTTATTGAACAGGCAAAATACTTAAAAGGTACTTACTCAGAAAGAGGCCGTACGAAGCTGAATGAACGATGAATTTTACAAATGGTTTCTTCATAAAAAGTCCCATATTGGAATTAGGAGCAATCATATAAATCGTGCAATAGATCGGGAACATCATGGCAAGTTGGGCCACTTGAATGCCCTGACCAATCATGTTTTTCCTGCGAAAGCCCGGCAGACCTTCATACCAGATGGCCGCTAAGAGTTGTTGAACATTAGGATGAGCAATAAACTAAAAGCAAACAAATCGACAAAAAAAATATAGTTTTTGTTTAAAATCCGTTAAAATTTCATTACTTTCTTCTGTTTGTACTTAATGGCCAATTTTAATCGTTCCAATGTCTGCCGTTCTCCAGTAACCCAAACTTCGCCCTTTGGATCATAGTTGAGCATTATTTCCAGCTCGTAGGAAGTTCTGGCATGATCCAGTAAGGACGTAGCAAAGTTCTGTACTTGATCTCTCATCTCCTAAAGTAAAAAAAAATGAAAATATGCACTTTGTTTTAATTTAAAATAAGTTTAGTCTCAGATTTATTTCCGTTATTACAATAATGATACGAAAAACTGCAGAAATCTGAAATCGGGCATTTTTTAAGAGTAAGAGAATGAAAAACAAAATTGCTCACATTATATTCTGCTCTAAATTCCGTTTCCATCCTGCTCAACCGTTTCAAATCCCATGATAGCTCAAATGCTGTTAACAATGGATCGCTTGAAGAGAGGCAGATCAGTGATGGCGCTGATAGGGCTTTATAAGCATTTATTCGACTTTGAGAGTGTCTTAAAGAGTCATCTTTGCTCGAATGAACGCAGTCATCGCAACCGCACCTTTCAGAAAAAACTTGTTACTTAACATGATAAAAATATAAATTTAGAAAAATGAAAGGAAATTCGTTTCCTTTTCCATGGGTTTTTATAAATAAGGTAGGTATTTTAAAGAAAGTATTAGCGCTTAATACAAAGTTAATATTACTAATATATTTATTATATTTTATATCTTGTAACAGGAACCACTTGCAAAGACTCATTCTTGCCTCTGAGTATCGAAGATTGACGTAAATTTCACGTAAAAAAGGTAGACTTTATATACTTTCATATTGACGGCTATCTTCGAGCTATTTTGAATAAAAACTTGTTCCTCAATAAAATATTTAATGAAATTGATGTCTCTATATATTTTTGTATTGAAAAATATATACAGAATACAAAAATCGAACGGCATTGTTCGATATATCATTGCTAAAATCATTTTTTTTGCAATCTGTAGCAGCAAGCAGTTATAGATTTTCTTTTACTTGAAAAGGTGCTTGTTTCTGAACAATGAGAGAATTATATTCAAAGATTTGAATTGAAAAATTAAAATAATATTATCTGCTCTGCACATTGTTCCCACCCAACTAAGCAGGTGCGATTGAGTTTAAAAATTAATGTTTGTGTTAAATGAGAAAAACTTTTAGAACAAGGAGAAAAAGAACAAATTTTTCTAATGCGAATGTTTAGAGAAACTACACAAATATGCAAAGATTCGATGCAATAAGATAACTAAAGCTCGCACTAACGACGTTAGGTAAAAAAAATCGGAATGCAGAATATTTTAACTTATTATTAATTAAATGGTAATTAAATAATTAATACGCTTGTTATCGCTATATCGTATAGAAACGTAGAAGGAAAACCGGGTAAATAATAATAAAATTCGTTTGAGTCTAATTGTACATCTTTATTATCTGGCTAAGTTTTGACACGATGGAAAGTTAAGTTTTCCCTAGTTGACTATTTTGAATTCATATTGATCAGAAATGGCATAAAACAACCCACTAACTTATTATTAATAAACGATTATAAACCTATCAGAAGCACTAAAAAATTGGATTACTGGCGACGTATTATGAGAACTAGAAATCCTAAGGAAGGCTTAAATGAGAATCCGGTGATTTCAAGCCAATGAAAATACAGATTATATAGAAATGAACATTTTACAAAATACAATAACCGAATTTTCTTTCTTGAAAAACTCTTTTCTATGATAAATTTGCTAAATTTGCCTCTTACCTTACATCATGGGGCATTGGCAAAGTTGCCCCTCGATCTAGAAGCAGCTTGATTATTTCATAGTTATTTTTATGAGCTGCCAGAACGAGGGGAGTAATATCCGAAGTAAAAGAAGCCCCGGATCGGTCAACTTGCTCCCAACTCTGAAAAAAAGGAGTATTTTGAGCTCGGTAAATGCCGAAAATGCAAAATTTACATAAGGATCATTATCTTGATGGTGTTCTTCCTCCCAATTTAATAGTATTTCCACCGCTTCCACATACTCTTCTTTGATGGCATGCAATAATCCATCCTAAAATGTAAATATAAATGCGATAGATGCAGTAGAATAGTGGACAGTCTTTTCACCTTCACCGCAATTCCTTGGTTAAGTAGGAGTTTAATCAATTCAATATTTTCATTTTCTATTGCAGCAATAAGTGCAGATCTATTAAGGGGATCCACGCAATTGATATCAAATTCATCAGGCACTGATGTATACTGATCTATGATCCTAGAGAAACAAATTAATTTCATAACCATTTGGCCTTTTTCCTAGTTGCTCTATAATGTTTACCGAGCATTAAGGATAAAAATCTAGAAATGTAGCGATTATTTAGTGTTATTATATTTTTCTTCGTAATTTCGATATGGCCCTGAATCTGATAAGACACTTCGGCCATTAAATACATTTTCTAAATAAGCTCAATTAAAGTATACCCTCTTCCTATATCGACACAGTTGCGTGTTTACTTTGCACTTGAATTGCTATTGAATAGATACATATACGCCGGTATAGGAATCCTGTAGTTTCGCACACATTTTATTGATACTCGTGAAACTCTATTTTCCAGCTGTAATGGAAAATGCATATGTTTTATTTTATGTGGTTTGAGAGCTTCAAACTGCGACCAACGGAAGTGCAAGACATTTTTCAACATGTCCATCCGCAGGCCAATGAGTACCTGTCGAATGGTCGGGCAAAAGGTAAGCGTTAACATGCTAATTGCTGGTTGTGATTATTGAAACTATGAGGACATTTGAGTAGATAAATGAAAATAATTAAATTTATGAATATTTATATTCTCATGCATAAAACTTATTTGTTACAAATACAGTTTCTTGACAAAAATTACGACAACAAATGTATTAGATCGATTTTTTTCAATTTATCAATTTTTCCATACACGTAAGGAAAGCTCCAAAACATTCGTAGAAATATCAAATTATTTGGAAAACTCGTTCCTCAAACACTTTCAATTGGATACCGTAGTGTATTAAAAAATTGTGTCGTAATAAATTATACTAAATTTATTATAAAAAAAAACGTAGAAATCGTAGTCGATGCAGCTTCATATTTATATGTGGCTCAAAATTCAAGCTTGATGGAAAGAGAAAATGTATAATTCTGTCTAACCAAAACACAATAATCGCAGTCCGTGCTGCATATTTTAACTAAAAATTTTGAGTATTTTGTATTTATGAAATCAACACAAATTTAATTTAAGTCGTCCATCATAAAATTGTAACACACTGTAAAAATTCCATATAAAAAAAAAGCTGAAATATTTCGAAATAAGTCCAGATTTAATAAATCAATGTCCATTTTAATAATTATCCAGCTACCATCAAAAGGCAAAGAGTTTTGCGAATTTGAAAAATCGCTATTAACAAAAATCAAAATATTCACGGATTTTTGTACAAACAGGCAAGTAACGGTATCAAATAAACAATCAGTCTAAAATAATAAGAAAATTAAGCATATATGAAACATAGGGAATTTTATAAAGCTACGTC